ACTGTATGCCCCTCTCCTAGTGTTGCCAAACCACGATGGCTGACTTCAGGCAATAGCTCGAGGTGGGCTGGGGAATTGCCACGATATGCACATCGACGGTGAAGTCCTACCATGCGCTCTATGGTATTCGGTTCCTGGTCGGACTGTTCGAGTGAGTATGGCACCTTGCACAAACCTGCAGTATAGTGCTGACTCGGAAGAAGATCGGGCTTCTACCCCGGCATCCATTACCTCCTCGGGTCGTGGTACACCCCGCAGGAGATCGGCAAGCGCGCGATGATCTTCTGGCTGGCGGGTTCCATGGGGACATTGTTCAGTGGCTTTCTGCAGGCCGCCGCGTACACCAACCTCAACGGGGTGAACGGACTGGCCGGCTGGCGATGGCTGTTCATCATCGACGGGATCATCACCCTGCCGCTCGCGCTGGCGGGGTATATCTTCTTCCCGAATCTGCCACAAGATGGCCGTAAGACGTGGTGGATCACGCAAGACGAGCATGTCCTCTCTGTCAAGCGCATGGACGCCGTCCACCGCGCGGGCAAGTCGCCGTGGACCAGGGCCAAGGTCAAACGGATGTTCCTCAGCTGGCACATCTATCTTCTGCGTACGTCGTCCCCGTCTAGATCGATCGAATTCGCGCTGACAGACTCAGCTCTGCTCTACATCGTGTGGAACAACGGGTTTCCGCAAGCTGGAATGGGTTATTGGCTGAAAAGCTTCAACGCGACCCCGGCGCCTGTTCCCGGGACAACTTACACCGTTCCGCAAATCAACGACTGTAGGAATTGACTCCAACTTTTAGGCATGCGCCGTGCAAGCTGACCTAGTTTTAGACCCGCTGCTCACGACCGGGCTGTTCATCATCGTATCGCTGACTTGGGGCTGGCTGTCCGATGGACCGCTCCGCGGGGCTCGCTGGCCGTTCATCTACGCTGGCGCGGTGATTACGGTGAGCAACCAGAGAATTGCGATCATCAGTTCCCTCCGAAGGCTAACGGTTCTCTTCTGCAACGCAGATCATCTTCTGCGCGCTTTTGCGACAGATGCCGCTGTATACGAACATCACAGGTCGGATGGCCGTGTATTGGCTCAGCAACATCGGGGTAGGTGTTCCAATTCCAGTGCCGAGAAAAACCGTTCTAACAAGACCACAGCTGGGCGCAGGTCCTCTGATCCTCAGCTGGGCCAATGAGATCTGCACAGCCGATACCGAAGAGCGAGCGTTGGTGATTGTGCTGGCGAACGACCTCGCGTATGTTGTGCAGGCTGTTGTAAGTACTATGAAGCCTGTGGCGAAATACCCAGAAGCTGATGGTTGATGTCCAGGCACCGAACTTTGTGTGGAAAACCACCGACTTCCCCGCCGCGAAGAAAGGGTATCTGTGGTGCATTATCTTGCAGGTCTTGAGCAGTGAGTCAACCCAGCAGCATGTGGATGTATCAGACTTCCGGGCTAACCAGATGACTCTGCGTACAGTTGGGGTTACAGGCGCGATTCAATGGCTGGTGGCGCGAGATCGAAAGGCTGCTGCCGCACGAGCTGAGGTGGAAGACTACCCCGGCTCTGGGGTCAGCGACGCCTCTCTACGGGACGACAACAGTGGTGGTGTTGATGCACTCGGAGAGACCAAAGTCATCCCCAGCAAAGTCACTCCGGTGTCGGAGTAGCGTGACTCGGACCCGTGGGCGGAAAGCCGAGCCGAGCGAGCATCGGAGCGGAACAACAGCCGGCACGGCAGGTGCAAACCGAGCAAACAAAAAACGTACTGTACAGATTGAACTGTAATTAGACTGTCATCCACAAAATTTACTCACTTGTCCTACTCGTACGTGTCTTTACATATAAGTTTCAGTTCAGCCTCCACAATCCCTGCCTGGATGATTTGCCTCCCCCCGTGGCCCGTCGCTTTTCCAGGCACAATCTGTCATTGCCAAGTGGGCTGTGGCAAGATGGTCCCCACTTGAAAATCAATAGTCGATCGTATTCCCTCTATTTAGGGTCTCGGGGAGTCCGTTCACCAATCAGGGTCCGCCTTGGCACCGCTTATATCTACTTGCTGAAGATACCTATCCAGGGTCCAGGCGATGAGAAGGACTCGCCCCTATAAGACAGTGAGATTCCGTGTTTCTTGGAGTTCTAGCCTGCTTGTTTCTTCTGCGGGTGTCATTCCTTCTTTCATGCCTGCCGTCATTTCCAACTGCTCTGTCACTCGTTTCTGAACAGGCCATGGCAAGGTCACTCTTTACAACCGCCGTCGTCGCGGGCGTTTTCGCGCACTCGGTAGCCGCCAGCGTCACCTGCAGCAATGAGGTTGTCAACGCCTTCACCAACCCGTCCTTCGAGACTGGCGATGCGTCGGACTGGACCGCCTGGATCGCCTCGGCGACGGCCACCACCATGGGCGATGTCCTCTCCGGGGATGCGTCGGACGGCACCTATTACCTGTGAGTTGATTGCTCGAATGGATTTTCGGGGAAAAAACGAACAGTACTGACACGCGACACCAAGATCCATAAATGCGGACCCCTACTACTGGAAATACATCAAGCAAACCGTGACCGGGCTGGAGGCGGGGAAGACGTATTCGCTGTCGGTGGACTACAAACTCACCGCTGCGGCGGCGAGCATTCCTACCATCTACAACCAGTGCAATCTGGGGTGGATGCTGGACAAATGGGGCAGCTTCTTCGATCGCACCACGACGGCTGCGACACTCAGTGGTGGAGAGGCTGAGTGGGCGACCTACACCGCGGCCTTCACCCCCACCAGCTCTTCGCACACCATGATGTTCCTGTTTGCCTGCAACGACTATACCACATTTACCTTTGACCTGGATAACTTCCTCTTGCCGGTGTCCACCCAGCAGGTGTGCACCACCTCTGCAGAGGTGGTTACCCCGACTACGAGTGTGGTGGCGATCTCGCCGTCTAGTGTTCCAGCGAGCAGTGCTGTGAGCGCCTCAGCAACGCCATTATCCGCTGTGTCGCCTGCTTCGCCGATCTCGTCGCCAGTAGTACCTAGCAGCAGTCTGGTATCTACGCCCACCACATTGTCACCTTCTGCGTTAGTGACCGCAACGGCGTCTGTTGCATCAAGCTCAAGTGTGGTCGCATCACCTCCCGCTGTGTCGTCTCCGCCAATCATCTCTGCCAGCTCAAGTGTCTCCATTCCTATTATACGACCATCCCAATCCACGGCCAACTCCGTGATTCCGCCACGCAGCTCGCCCATACGATCATTGTCTTCCTTCGTTCCATCATCCAGCCCAGTTGTCTCCTTTGCCTCCTCCCAGCCAGTGGTCACACGTTCGGCGGGCCAGTCTTCAGCACCGGGCTTCACCCCATCCCCTGTGCGCACATTCGCTACTTCGCTTTCCCAACCGGGCAGAGTCCCATCCAGTTCCCCCAACGTGGGACCTTCTCAATCTAGCATCCCGACAGTCACTCCTTCAATCTCAGCCCACGAGAGCAGAACCACCCTCGGATCTGCATCCGCAGACAGCGGCGCATTCATCACCTCCACACTTCTCACCACCCGCACCGCAACGGTGACAGCCTGCCCGTCAAGCGTGGCCAACTGCCCCGCCAGCGAGCGCACGACCTCTCTAACGACCGAAACGGTGGTCGTGGGAACCACCATCTGCCCCGCCACGAACCCCGCCAGCCAACCTACAGCATCTGCCGGCTCAGGCCCAGACAGTGAGCTCCTGACGACATCGACCGTCTTCACCACCCGCACCTCCACCATCACCGCCTGTCCATCCACCGTCACAAACTGTCCGGCCTCTGCACAGAGCACCTACATAATCACCGAGACTCTGGTCGATTACACAACCGTATGCCCCATCACCGCCACCCAGACCGCGGCACCCACCGCTACGGGGGTTGACACCATTGCTACTGGAACCGCCATCGTGCCTGCACAGACCGTGTCGGCCGGTAACTCGGCTGCTACCACCGCCGGTCAGACTGTCTCCTCGGCGAGGGCGCCGGCAGTGACCCAGCCCGCGTCGGAGAGCGACGGTGACGAGGTAGTGTCGACTATCTACGTTACAGCCACGGTTACTGTGGATTGCTACAATTAATCTCGGAATTGTGTGGGATCTGTCCCGCTCCCTTAATTTTAAGAATTTATCGTTAGAATGAAATGTATTCGAGTCCATGGTGTCTATGAATTTGGGATCTGCAGTGGCTGTAGGGCTATGACCGTGTGCATTTCTCGTCTTTAGATTCCAAATAGGAAGACTGGCGATAACTCGTAGAAGCATGAGTATCCTTTGTAGCTCAGCTTATGGAATCCAGGACGTGAGACGTCAAATGGACAGTCACCGTCACGAATACAACAGACACGCCGAGTAAGTCGCAGTCAAAGTATCACTCCAAGCATAGTCCTCAACTGTGGCTGTAGATCACTTCAATCGATAATCAACCTCGGTACGAATGTGGTTGGCAAGCGGGGGGATTAGTGCTTTGCGAAGTCCGCCTCCGCCTCCGCCTCAACTCCGCCCCGCTCCGCGGCGCGCCGCAATGAAGTCAGCTCAGGGGGCAAACATCTCGATTAAAGCTGAAGGCATGGGCTGAGAGACGCTATGCGCTCCATAGCAGCAGCACAGCTGGATCGTCTAGCGGAGAAAGGAAGGTCGTGTGTTGGGGCTGGACGAGTCCGTTCTTCTTATGCAGGTGATGGACAAGGTCGTAGGTAGAATGGGTTGGTCTATTCTTCGGCATTGAGGCTACGGAAAGAAGTGGGTGATGATGCTGGGCTGCAATGGTTTAAATGTTTTCAAATTCCGATTTGACTGTGACTGTCCAATTTAGTCCAGCAAGAAACATAACGTAAGCAAATCAAAGGCTTGTGTCGATAGGCTCAACATCTGTGCATCACCTTCCCACAGTTTCATACAAAATACTCTTGGTCTGGATCCAGCATTCTCTGGTACAGGTGAGTTAATCTGAAGTCGAATGAACGTGACAATATCCAGCCACGATGACCTCCAAAACTACTTCGACCCAAGCACGGCTTTCATGATCTGCGCAACCTTGCCCAGGAACTTGCGCTCTTTCTTGTGCGAAAAGATCACCACCGCAACGCCGACGAGAAGATCATTCTGGGAGATGAGCGGGGACCGGCGAATCTCCTTTCCCTTCTCGAGCACCTGCTGCAGGATCTTGGTCGCGTCGAGCTGGCACTGCAGCCAGGGTAGGCAGGACGGTCAGCTTCGAGGTGAAGGTTGCGGCGCAGCTGGCCCAGCACCTCGAACACTGGCTGCGGTCGGTCACCATCGGCCCTCTTTTTGGTGCACTTGTTGGAGTCGGTGAGCACGCGCTGGATATCCTGGGGCGTCCAGTGCCGTTGGAGGCTGTGCGGGCTGCTCACCATCTGGTTCATCGGCGGAATCAGGCCGTCGTCGACCCAGCGGGCCCGGCCCTTCGGACTGAGGCTGTATTGCAGAGACTGTCTGTACCGCGCACGCTCTGTGGGAAGCTTCCCTCCGAGGAAGATAGGGCCGAGGGCGTCGATCAGCTGCTGCAGCGCGGGCCAGGTCCACCCGGCTGGCAGCAGACTCTCGCAGGCGGCAGCGTTGTAGAGATGGAACATGCCCAGGAGGACACCACGAGACTTGTTCAAATTTAGGAGGCGTCGGTATAGGGAGACCTTCCAGAGCCACAGCAGTTTCCCGGCGAGCAGGGGCTGGCACGAGAAGAGTCCGAAGAGTTGCTCCGTCAAGACACCAAGCGACTGCCGTCGAGCGTTAACGTGATCCTTCCCAAGTGTCTTCTTAGTAATCCTGAGGAAATCCTCCAGCTATTCCAAGCCAGAAGCGCCCGTCTTCGAGAGTGCCTTGATAAGAGCGGTGGTCGACCTGGTCCACGCCTGAAGCTGCAGACGTGGCTGGGCGGCGTCCGCACCCATCGCGAGACGGATATCAATGTCAACGAGGGCGGCGAACGCGACTTCGTAGTTAATCGCCCGTTTCTCCTGCCCGTAGCCCAGCATCATGGTGAACCAGTCCATCGTGGCACAGAGACGCGGGTGATGCGGGCCCCACAGGCCGCATTCGCGGACCACCTCTTTGAGCAGCACAAACGCCACAACGCTTCGCTCGGTGTCCATCATCTCGTCCAGCGGTCGGCTGGAATCGAGGGCCGGGGCCGTCGGCTCGGACAGCACGGCATCATTCTCCTCCTTCCAGCCGCCGACGAGGGGAAGGAGAATCTCCGCCACCATGTGCAGGTTCCGCACCACTTCGTACCAGTACGGTCGATCCTGTGGCGCAGTGCGGTGCATTTCTTGAAGGATCCTGGTCATGATTGGATCGAAAGCCTGGAGGTCGTCGCTGAAAGGTTTGAGGCCCTCCTGCATTAATTCAGCAGCGACGTGGAGCGCGATATCGGTGGTCACGGCCGCGGCCTCGAGGGTGCATTTGCCCTGATGGTGCTTCGTCCATGTCTGCTGGACAGATTGACGGATCGACCAGAGGTCTTGGAGGAGGAGGAGCACTCCGAACTCTTGATCGGTGGAGTCCTCAACGATGAGATTGTTAGTAGTATATGCATGGCGCGCAGGAGTGTCCGGTGCCTCCAGGAACTCTTTCGAAGATTCTTCGATCTTGAGCCCCTCGAACCGATTCGCCATAGCAGCCGTGTCAGGATCCTCTGAGTCAAAATGTGTCTCCTGTTCGTCTAGTATGAGAGGACGGAGGGTCTCGTAAAGTCGTTCAAGTTGTTGAATGAAGTGCTGGTGAGTCTTGTATGACGCCGAACCCTCGTCCTGGTAGAATTTGGACTGAGCCCAACGACTGTTGATGGTGTAGCAAAGGTCACTGACGATCGGCCTGGGGACGTGGTCTGCATATTTGCAAGCGACGATGTTGTTCGCCAGCTCCACGAACTGACTGGCAATGAGGATGTACTCGCCCTGCTGAGGCTTGAAATCACGATCAGTGACCGCAAGCCATAGCGCCACGTTTTGAGTCGATCGTTTGTATCGACTGTAGCGAGTCTCGTAGGTTTCTGGGGATGACATGATGTAAGTTGATTTTGTTTTGGATGGAAGTAATGTGGATGTTGTTGGTGATGTGGATGGAGAAGAAAGAAAATTCAGTTGGGGTCGAGGTAAATGATGGTGTCTTTTATAGCCCTTGATTGCATTTAACTATCTGAAGACTCGTTCTTGTGAATGTTGTCAAGTTAGACGGTATGTAGGCATCAACTTTCTGAACAAGTTGTAAGTCCCGGAAAGAAGGATCAGGATCTCTTCTTCATCCTCGTCAATATTGCCACATTTTAACCAGCTCTTGGAGAGAGGAGCTGGAAGCACCTCTTGTAATCAGAACAGGCTGCTCTATTGCTGGTACCACGAATACTAATTGTAGATGGAATAAGAAGTGGAATTCAGAACAGTTCACCTCATGTTACTTCTGAGCCAAGCGGTGTATATCAGGTTCTGAGTAGATTAGTTCTAAGAATCCTGTCGTCACGGTTCAGGTATCCCCTGTGTACCTGCAGGAGGTCTTACAAATATTTCACAGAGCTCTTGATCTTGGCTCCAACACGATCAAGATTAGTGTAACTTACGTTACTAGGCTAAGATATACATGAAGTCCTTGTGCTGTTTTGAGTACGTATTTACGTATAGTAACATCTGGTGCTGCTTTAACAGGTAGGTCAGGTCGCTAATGCAGTGGGTAATCCAGGTTCTGGAATCTGTTTCTGCTTCTTGTACCATTTAATGATGCTTGAGTTTTCGGATGCGTTGATGCTCGAAGCAGGAGTATAATAGGAGTAAGGTTTCTATGATGAAAGTTCAAGAGGTGCTACTATCTTTGTACGATGCATCAATGTAAAAGACCTCCTTACATTCCGATCTATAACAACTCTAGCCATGGCTACGTTTGTCGAGATCTATGTTTGATTTTCGGAGACGATGTGAGGAAGTTATAGTGTTCCGATTACTCCCAGTACCAACTCTTATCTACTGAGACACTAGATTATTTATATTCGATCCGTGCCAACTCGCGAAATAGCTTCGTCCTCCGTCTCACTCTTTCTCTCAGCCTCGTCTATTCGATCCTCCAGACGTCTTTTTGTCGGTGTCTTCTTCCCTCGCCTAAAACCGCTACACTGATTGCATACACCCTCAGTAACCCACGATACCTTTGCTAACCCGCTCAGGAGGTACAAGCCCCATCGACACACTGGAGCCCTCCATCGGCCGGGACGGGACAATTCTTGAGCCTCGTCCACAGCGCGTACGACTCGCCGCCCTCGCCATCAACCTCCGAGACGAGATATTCCTCGCATTCCATCTGGACAGAACGCAGTCAGCATCAGGTATACGTCGGTTCCCCATTCTGCGGTGAGAGAGGCTGCGCTGTTCCCCCAGAAATCTCGTACCAGGTACCCTTCATCACACTCGCACACCTTGGCTCCCCAGTCAGAGCAGTAGGTGTCGGATTTGTAGCAGGCGGCTCGAGCCTGGATTACAAGGAGGGCGAAGGCACCGAGGGCGAAAATGGGTTTCATGTTCGATGTGAGGAATGTCGGCAACAAGGGAGTGAGGAGAAGAAGAAGAAGAAGGAGCAGCGATCGGGCTTCTGTTTGGCTTGATCAGGAAGATTGATGTTTGCTTTGAAGCGTGATGATGAATACCAATGCCATGGCCGTTCATCTCGGGCAGTTTTATCTCTTTGCAAAGCGGGTATCTTTTCTCCCGGAGGTGTTTGTACACACTGGCACTCGGCTGTTCTAGGGCTCTTGAGCTTCGCGGTGACCAAGTGGGGGGCCGAAGCTTGTTCGATTCAAGGCTTAGTGGGCCGGGAGAACCCCCGGTCTTGGTTAGCAGCGCATCCTTCTCCAGGCTTCAGCTCACGTGGCATACAGGAAAGGCTGGGACTAGTCTTCGTAGAGTAGGAGATTCATTTCGCCCGGTCGCACAGCTTGCCCTAATCGGTTCTTTGGACCCTCTTCCCGGCTGTGGCATCGACTCGCCAGGCTTCCGTCTAATATCCTTTGCCCTGGGCGTGGCTTTTATCGCTGAATGTGTACTCCCTAGAGGTAACCTCGACTCCAGAGGTGCGGCACCGCTATCTCGGGTATGAAGTAAATTTTCCACCAGTAATATTCGTCTCGCAGGGAGTTCTGTCCAGTATCAAATCCAAAGATTCTGGCAATGAACCTGCGAATTGGCGCAGGGGGTTGATCTTCATCTTCATATCTTTCTTTTCCAGACTCGACTCGACAATATAAACAATTCGCTTGGATACTCAGCCATAAACGCTGGGCTCGTATGCTGGACCGAGCAAGACATCTCATCAACTACTTCAATCGGGCCCTTTATTGCAGCGCGCGGATCTTCCATGAGACAAAATCTCATCTCCGAGCATGTTCGGGACCTCCGTAGCGACCGGGAAAGCCGAGAGATGATTCCCTGCCTGCCTAGAGGGTCCGGATCGGATCCTCAGCCAGCCTTGCCGTCCAAGGACGGCTTTTGTGTTGACCTGTAGTCTAGCATTGAATGGGCACAGAATACTGCCCGGCTCGCATGCCCGGCTCGCTCTCACCGTCGTATATACAACCCTCGATTTGGAAGTGGGACCTGAAAGCAGTAATGTTCCAATTTACCTCATACTCCGTACCGCGACTACTCTCAAGTCTCTCGTATCAAGTTCCAGGGAATACCGCCCCAATGCATACATGCTGGAGTTCCCCGGCTCACCGCTTCATCTTATTCAATGCCCACCTGTTGAATATTGCCATAAAAATCAGACCGGAACGGCTCGTCCTCCGGACTCATATAATGGCACCGATGCCTGCAACAGATGATCTTGTTAGCAACGTCGCCAGGAGAAAGCTCTACCACAAGACCTTCGGAAGATAAAGAGATGGAAACTGAAGCGACGAGGGGGTCAAAAGCGACCTACCAACACATGGCCCGAAAAATCATCCCCAGACACGCATCGCGGATCTCCTCCGAGCCGATCTGATCATACCCCACCACCCCCTCACAAGGGACCACGACATCGAACTGGTCCCCCAAACCGGTGGTTGCGGACATATGGTATCCATTGGCGCGCATCTCGGCGCGTCGTCTCCCGCGTCTGCGGACATGGGCTTCGATGGTGGGGAGGTGGTCGAAGAGGGCGTGCATGTTTCGGCGCCAGGTCGCAAAAGGACGTTTCCTGCCAGTGTGGGGTTTCTGTTTTGGTTTATGCTGCGGATGCGGCTGTCGTTGTTTTGTAGATCTGGCCTCTATCAAGCCTTCCTCGGCTTCATCATGATCGTCCTCCGCAGCCGCCCCCTCGCTACCGTTTTCGTACGCGACGATGAACTCGAGGAATGAGGAGACGAGGTCCCAGTGGAAGAAGGTGTAGGGTCCGATATAGTCGTCTTCCCGGTGAACGAGCTGGCTGAGTTCATGCTGGATCCAGGATATCCAGTGGTGAACCCTCCCGTTGAAGAAGCTGGCTTCGGGTTTGGTTTCCAAGTCTGTGGCCCAGGCGGGATGAGCGCCTTGTGACACGGTCCAGTAATCTGCTATGCGGGTTGGGGTAGGCGTCGTGGTGGAGGGAGGGGAAGAGGTGGGAGGAGGGGGCCCGGGATGTTGCTGTGGTCGAGGAAACTGCTCTAGCTCGCTGATAGCCTCTATAATTCCGTCCACGAGCATTGACGGTCCCCCCTGTTGTTGTTGCTGCTGCTGCTTCTGGGATTGTATATTTTCTACGCCACGCTTGAAGATCAGCGCAATTTTAGGTCTGGTGAACGGGCCCAGAAGGTACCGGTGCGGTCTTGGTACGCGCACTGGGTAGAGATCCCTTTCGCTGAAAACCCCGCAGCACAAGGCTGGGAGGGTATTGATCAGACCGGCTCGTGGTGGGAGTGCGAGCCACATGGTGCGGGAAAGGGTCTCCCAGGCCTGGTCACCGTCCAGGACGACGGATTCGGAGTGGGCTGGGAATAGCTCCGGATCTGGGAGAATCCGCCCGTAGAACATTGCCACCGTCCCGGTATGAATGATGAAGGTCTCCCTGCGTGAGAGGTGGAGCCGTGGCGGGGTGAAGTCTTGTTGCTCGTAGCGTAGTAGCGGGGTGGATCTTTCTGCGAGGATGAGGGTGTTTCCTGATGCCTGGAGGCTGCCTCTGGAAAACAAGCTCCTGGCTGATTTGCTCTCCGCTGCTGGTGCTGAGCTCCCTATATCACTCAAAAAAGGCCCGTCTGACCAGGTCAGGCCGAGAAGGCGAGTGAATACGATTAGGTCGCGGAGAGACACCGATCCTGTCAGTCTGCCAGTGTTTCCGGGGAGATCGTCCCAGGTGCAGGGCTCAAATTTGATGCAGATGCCATAGGATGATGGAGAAGGATGCGAGGGTGATGCTGATGGTGGGTCGTAAGTTGCATGATGCATTCGCCTTGCAGCATGTCGATTGTACTCGTGCAGGTGCTTCAGAAAAAGAGTCCAAGAAGCCTGCGTGCTCGCATCAGTGAACTCCCCGGCTAGCTCGCCTATGCTCATGGACCTTCCCAGATATTGCGATCGCCAATTCCGGTCTCTCTGCCAGGTCGGGAACATATTGAGCCATGTTGCTGGTGGACCTTCAACATCCGAGCTGGGGTGGGGTTGACCGAGACCCCCAAGATAGATATATGGTCGTACGAAGGTGACCTCAAACCGAAACTCCCGCCAGAGATAATTTCGATGTCGGAACCGGGACCAGTCGCCGATTAATCGTCTAGAGCACCGGTTGTAGCCCTGCGCCGTTGCGAAGTATTGCTGCAGCAACTGAAGGAAAGTCACTGTGAGGGCGACCAGGGAGACAATGAAGGCCGTTAGAGCGATAGAGTTACTTGTATCAAGCATTTTCACCTGTCTTGTCAGCCTTCGGGGTGTGACTTCTATCAAAGCTGGACGTTTCAGGCGCTGGTCAACATTGCGGCACAGCTCGTTCTCGCACATTTAGGCGAGAAGGTGAGATGACGGCAGTGTGCAGGGAAGTGCATGAGATCGACAGTCTGGACTGCCTGTCTTGGATCTTATACTCGGATGCACTATCAAGCAGCCTTTAAAGGTGGAACAATGCTTCCTATGTATTTTATTCCTGATAGACCTAAACACAGATTGCAGTGCACGATGACAGCAATGCGACATAATTTCTGGTTCGGCTAGGCGTTGGAACAACTATGTTCTACACTTTATGGCTTGCAATGGTGCCACATCCCTGTTTTCACATGTGGGGCTCCGGGAGTGAATTCAGCGTGAAGAAAATAGACACCGTGCTAGAGGTAAATGGACATAACAAGTTGCAGATTCATTATTAAGGGAGCTGCACAATTACACCGGCTTTGCGCCGGACACAGGGCTGAAATGCGATTTTCGAATTGATAGAAAGGTGTACGAATATATTGTATGGTTCTTACCCCTGCTCCCGTAGTTAGCCCGGCTAGCTCAATCGGTAGAGCGTGAGACTCTTAATCTCAAGGCTGCGGGTTCGAGCCCCGCGTTGGGCTTTCATTTTTGCGCTCATATTTTTTTTTGTCTCCACATCTTTTTATGGCAATTCTTGCTCCGTCTCATCGCGCCAGAGAAGATTGAATCCTGTAGGTTGATCCACTACGAGAGCAAGAGCAGCCCTTCTTGTGGTTTAAGCATGCCCAAATGGCATCAATATGCTCATAAGTCAGCGAACATGCAGGAACAAATGACTTGTTCGCCCGTTGCTTACGGATTATGAAATATATAAGCTAGATTCCGATTTCTGCAGTTGAAACGCAACGCAACTATAACCCCGCACACCTCTCCTTACACCTGTAAGGCTTATTTGTACAAAAAAGAAAAAGAAAAAAAACTCAAACCTCTGTTCTTGGCCTTTGCCCGTCTCCCAAAGTGAAGGGACCCAACGAGAATCTTGTAGCATTACGTGAGAGTAAGTAGGTAGTGAAGTTCCTGCATTTATGTTGTCTGCGACTTCAAGAAAGGGATTGATCCGCACTCACGTGAGCATCGACCGCGCGTAGATCCAGGCCCGGCATAGATAACGAGGGTTGGGAGTCGAAGATAGAACCATTACTGTGTCGTTAGTCAGGTTACCTTTTCCTTCCCTTCCATTCAAAAACCATTGGTTGTGGTTGCAGTGGACATGGTGGATGATATGGAGGATGTGTTCCAGTGTGCAAGACTAATGGCGGAAACTTGGGTTTGCCTATAGTAATAGATAAGAATCAAAGGCTGTCTCAAGCGGAACCTGAATCCAGCGCAGTGAATTTGCAGAGGTTGACAGTGAGAGACTCCCGATTCAACCTGAACAAACTGCACCTCCCCCGAAGAGTGAGCCCGAGCCTTATTCGGGAACTTACGCTCGCCCAAGCTGGATTTAGGCCTCTGCAACCAGCCATTAACGGATTGTTAATATGGTAGGGGGTCTGAAAGCTAGACAAGGGCCGGATAAATTACCTAGAGGGATAATAGGGTCTAGACTCGGCAGCCATCATTCTATGCAAGGAAAGAAAGCTTTACTAGGAAGGGAAAGGGGGAGGCAAAGAGACAGGGATCTTCACACGCGCAACTTCCCAGAGCACCCGCATTTACACCTCAATTCTGACTTGCGATGATTCCAACACGCGCAGGGTCCCGGTGACCACCGTTGTGGAGTACCTGAGCTGATTAGTGATGGTCAAAGTGATGCCTTCCTCGCGCACGAAAGGCCTGGTCAATCAACCAGAAGATAGAGGATATAGGCCACAAAGGACCAAAAGAATATAGCACAGAAGCGATTTGCTGGTGGTAATCCACCCTACTACTAGCCTCCCGGCTTGTGGCTTAATCACGGCCAGAAGATGGGTAGATGCATTTTAGATAAGCTAACAGCTAAGGCTGCTTTACAGTTGTACAATTAAGGTAATTTAAAGTAAGTATATTTTAAAGATAGAGAAGTAATTATTCTGGTTGTGTAATAGCTATATAGTATTATCTATAGGAAGTTTACTTAATTTTCTTTACAGCATTTACAATTGGTTTAAAATAGTATGATGGGATTGCTAACCTATAAAACTGACTTGAGATTATCTTCCCTTAGGTCTAGCTAATATGTAATCCCATTCCTCACACCCACCCAAATACTAGGTCCGCAGGGTGTGGCCTAATTGTGCACCACAGTCAATTCACTCCCTTTTCAGATTGTGGAAACCATTCTTACCCTTCGTTAAGTTCTCCAATTCAATCCACCCTACTCTATCTAAATTCCTGTAAGACATATCATACATTACTAGTATACATTTCATACATTTCACAATCGTTAAAAGCCGCTGCCCGCCCTGCCCAACTTCCATCCAAGGCGCTCCTGCGCACTAAGCCTTTTGCTGATGTCAACTCCATCCACCTTTCCCTGGGGATGTGCTAAGGCTTTCAGATGCCCACGCAGATGTACTCATCTAACCAGAGGTCCGTACAGGCGGACCCGACTTTGGGGTTCCACTGCTCAATATCGCCGACGGTGATGCCATGACTGCTAGCAATGGCCGGGCACGTATCGCCCGAACGGACGAAATAGAAAGCGGTACAGCCAGCCACCATTTCGGGCTCGAAGGGCGTCGGGGTATTAAGGGCGTTGCCAGCGGCGGCTGTCGGGGTCGTCGGCGCTGTGTAGCCCAGGGTCTGGTCACAGACATAGTAACCCACGTCGAGGTCGGCGCAGGACGAGTTGACGGCCGGGTTCCAAGTGTAGAAGGTGGACAGTTGGATGTCGTGTTTCGCGGCGATGCCTTCGCAGCTGTCGCCGGGTTGAACAAGATCAAATTTGCCGCAGTTGTCGGTCATGCCGGTCTGGATGGGCGTGGGCGTGGTGATGCCGTCGGCGGGAGTGGTGGTAGTGATAGTCGCCGGCACTGTTATGGTAACGGGAGCAGTGGTGCCGGCGACGTCTACACAGTAGTAGTAGCCTGCTAGGATGTTGGAACAATCTATGAGGCTGGTCAGCTTCGGGAATTGGTGTCTAGGAGCTGTGCCCCTTTTCGTTTCACGGCGCACAGGCACGGATCGGAAAAATGGAAGGATATACTAGAGTTGACAGATGGATTCCACTTCAGGAACTGGGTTGCGCTGATGTCAAACTGGGCTTTGATGTTTTCGTACGAGTCCCCAATCTGGATAAGATAGAACTGGTCGCAACTGGCGGCGGTACCAGTTTGTTGCGGTTGATAGGGATTTGATGAGGATAGCGATACCGTTGATGAAGTGATGGTGGTAAGAGTCGAGGAGCTTGTAGTCGATCCACTAGATAAAACTGTGCCGACCACACAGTAGTTCTGACCGGCCACGAGGTCCGGGCAGGTGATGCCCGGGTTGAGAGACCTGAATATTGGCACATCCATTCCCCGATCCGCCGAGAAAGACTGGCAGGTATCTCCGGAACTGGCTGCCGTCTCATAGGTACAAATCACTTGCTGACGGGGGGCGATGGCCATACCCCATGCAAGCTGTAGCCGCGGGAGTAGAAGAAGACCCGCCTTGAGGGATGTTGGAGTCATCATGGTGGGTTAATGCTTGTTCAAGAACAAAGGAGAAAAATACCTGGGCAAGCCAAGAGACAGTGCTGGGGAACAACAAAGCTCTGTTCTGCTGGGATCAGGTCTGACCATCGAGCGTGTTATATCCTGTTGTGCAACCGCACAGCCATGGAAATCAATCTCATCACCGAACATTATATGGTAAAGAAGATTGTGTGGGCCTTCAATCCTTCGAAAAACATGGAAAGCAAGAGTTTGAGGCGATGTACGGAGTACTCCGCACTGAGACATTGTCCACCTCTGGGGCGTGCGAGGACACCCGTCTTCCGCGCTTTTCAGCCCCCAATTCAATTGGAGATCCGGTAAAGCTTCGCAAAGCTTCTCAGGGCTCGGTATTAGATCATGAGTAGAACAGACAAAAAAGCAAATGTACTGCAAGTATGCAATACATAACATTTAATGCTGACCGATTCGGACTTGACGAGTAAATATGCTTGGGCAATACAACTAGAAAACTTTTAAGTATGAGTGCATGTTGCTTTTCCTGGAATAGGTGTTTACAATTTGTATCGAGTGGCTTTTCCGTCTGTCCAAATAGGGCCCTTCCATGTATCGAGGTGACTCATTCGCCGCGAGAGATAGTCGTCAATTCCTTGCTGCCTAAAGTCCTGCTCGAAAGCATATTCCTCCACCGAGCGGCTACCCCGTTATCTTACTATTGACTACAAGAACAAACCATTCGAGTCATGTATACAATGAAATTGTGAGGTCTATCGAGCCCCCCTCGTGTTTAAGCAGGTGAGGTGGATACCGATTGCTAACAATTACTACTCCGTAGGTATGTACATACTGTACAGCACTGCGGGACGTGCAGGCACCGCCGGCGTTCCGATCCATCATCTCACGACCCCGAGGATTCCGAAAAAGCTTCGCAAAATTCTGTAAAGCTTGGCTCGGACCCTAGCCTACCGAAGGGGCCAATCATCGTGCCGGCACAGAAGTTTTGCCCCCACCCCCCACGTCTCATGCATCGAGTCAGTCAATCGAAAATATCTCTAGTAGAGGTCGGATCTTTTGAATTCGTTCAATGTTGCTGCCTTAAGCACTGCTCATCAGGGGGTCGAAGGGGCACCCCATTTGATTTCCCTATCCATTGTAACCTTCAGATACAATCATTTCGTCTAGAATCGTGAATTCAAGGAGCTAAAAACATGGCCTCTACTGGGTAGTACGGGCACATTTCTCACGTATACCACAGGTCCATAGTCTTTGTCCGCAGGTGGTTGTCAATGTGCCAGGCTAGTCTTGCCTCACAGGGCACTGGTCAAGCTGCAATACTAAATAAGACTCGCCCATCTTGAGATATTGATTGATAAGAATAATTCGCCTTGTAGGTCTAGCCCCTTTCCGCTTCCTCTTTGTATTCTCCTCGGTTCCAGCCCATGGATTGTTTTTTATCGTGCTCGAGAACACCTACCAGTAGCGTTATAGTCTAACAAGCTTCAGGAGCTTGACCCGTCAGCAATCTAATTTAGCCAGTCAACCAACTAGCGGAATAGGCCGGACTTCCGAGACTTTTTCATCGCTGAACTCTTCACGAGGGGAAGCCTGCTCAGGTGATTGGGTAGAGCGCAAAGGCGATTTTAGCTCTGACTCCCTGCCCCGTCGCGAACTGGCGGAAAGGGGCACCGGCGTGTCCGGCGTGTGGAGGCGAATAGTGTGCCTTCAAAGTACGTGATTCCTGGTCAGGGGCCACTGGACCAACAGCAGCGAAGCTCCCCTCAACAGTCTCCAATTCTTCCAATAGCTCAGCTCGCGTAGATGAACGAATGGACTCTGGAGGAGCCCAGGTATTCGGCTTGAATAGTCCCAACCGGTAGCTCGGGCGTTCTACACACATAGTGTCTTATAGAGCAGAGGGCCAAGCGTGGGAGGCCAAGGAAGGCGAGCCGAGTACTGAAGTATACATGTCAGAATATCACATTGTCTTAAACGCCGGGCCGATCACTCCTAGAGCTGTAAGTATCAAAAGTCTGCACTTGCCTTGGTCATTGACTCTGAGGTACTATAGGCACGACACCACTTATATTAAGCGATATATGGAAAGATGCCAAGATAAAACTCTATATGTTAACATCACTTTAGTATTATAACAAAAGACATTACTCGACACTTGATAAGGCTTTCCTCAATCGGGATCTCGGTTGACAAAACTTCTGTCCCCCTTAAGCCTTGTTGATACGTCTAGGATATCATTGCGATCGTGTGTCTTTCCGTATCTTGGTTAGTGGAAGCGAAAATCGGAGCCTGGGGTCAACTGAACAGCGGTATGTAACTAGTAGCTACCTCGGTACGTGCCCAGGGTACGGTACCTCCTGGACTCCAGACCCTATTAAGATTAGTGCTTGCTGCCAACTCATTGGTCGGTGGGGGTGTCCACCTTTGAGCCCCCCAATTTTCTGCTTTCTGGCAATTTGTCACTTGGTGGCTTGGAATGCGGCCATTAGCTCGCCGCGGAAACCGGCCACAAAGAGCTTAGGAGCCTACATCTGGAGTTGCGAATTGGTGGGTCCGATACCCCTTATACACAAAATTTCGTCTACGAGCTGAAAACGCAAGTCTTTGTGCGGAGCCCACAACACTAGAACGATCTTGATACGAGGAAAAGTACTTGACAAATAGCCTCAATGTTGCTGCTGTGCTACATATGAGAAAGACCCGCTTGTCCTTCCAGGCATTGAGGCCAGGGGCTCGCTCGCGTACTGTACATTCCGTGATCATCTGAGGTGAATCAAGGTTGTCACCAGGGTCAACAGCGTAAGCCATATCGACACTGCTGCTGCCACATGAGGTGGTGCCGCTTCGTTGGAGGATTCGACCGGAGAAGCCGGACAACTGACGTTAGGGTACACCCCAGTCTCCAAAGGAGAACATGCCATCTCTGTGGCGGCTGCCATTATACTGGATGCGGCCGAAGGATTGATTGTCACCGAGCACGGGTTGGCAGTCACATTGGAACCCATGAAGCCGCATCCGTATTCCCCCCCAGTGACATTATATGCATAGGCGACTGTGGCGCCACACGTCTCGGCAGATGTGGCTGCCACGAGATCAGGGGTCTTCCCTGACTGGCGACTGACAGTGAAGGTGGTGGCATTGTTAGTCGTGATAAACTGATCACCTTGCTTTTCCGGATTGTCCGAGCAATTGTAAAGCTGCAGACTCCAGCTCAAGGTCCAGAAGCCTTCCGGATAATTGACAGTGTTGAAGAATCGGGTGACGAAGTGAGGTTCCGATGAAGTCCGGTTCCAATTGTCGCCCACATCCAGCTCCAAGACCCCGTCCATGATGGAGCCCGGGGAAGTCAGATTGTTGCCTTCCCACACGCTCCAGAAGATACTAGCTGCAGTGGTATCAGATAAAGCCGGATTCTGCAGCGCAAATACAATGGGCATCAACGCCTGAGGGGTGTAGGTCATGTTGCGCGGGGATATCAAGTCCACTTCAAAGATTCTCCAATCGGCAGCGGTAGCAGTGCCTATTGCCAGCACCGAGTGTGCCACCAGCGCGCACCAAGCAAGAAAACGAACATGATTCATGCTTGTAGGTGCTTGAAGGTGTTGTTTGAAAAGGAGGGTGGAAGGTGAAAAAGAATTGAAGGTTTAATTGGAGGGCGATTTGGACTGCCTCAGCTGGCTGTCATTTGGTGAGGAGAACAACCTGAGGAAATAAATAATGAGAGGATTCTTCAAGGGGCCGATCGAAAGCCACGGGATGCTGTAGGAACATTCGCCCCATCTCTTCAGGCTGCGCCATTATTGCCCAATAAAGGTTTGTGGGGTCTTTTTCATAGTGGACCCTTTGTGATTCAGGTAGTGAGTTAGTGAATTACTAGCGTGCCCTTATCCTGGATGGGGTTATGTTTTGCCTCTACTACCTCTACTTATTGTTTCTGTCATGATTGATCCGCAACAATCCCATCACTACTGCGAACAGACTGCTGTCGATGTAACTAGTCTCCCACTGGCCAAGTATGAGGGTTCAATTCACAATAGACCCGCTCGGAGGTGCCCGCAGCCTCCAGTCATCAGCGAAGTATAAAATTTCTGGTCATCTCGCCCTCCTCTGACAGATTCATCAGGCGCATTGTACTGTACTGTACGCTAGGTGTCTTTCTTTTCCAATTCTTCTGCGTGGCTTCGGCCGCGCAATACGTTCCTTACCTTCCTCTCCATCGCTCTTTTCACCTTTTCTTTGCTGTTCAATCATCGGTCGCGATTGACGTGCCCATTCGGCTCCCCGCAAGTTCCAGGTATCAGGGCAGATCGGTCTCTTGTCCAGCCCGATGTGCCGCATCGGGGCCTAACCCTGGCAACTGGTCTCTATATCACAACTTCGAACAACTCGCCTCGTGCAAAGAGTCTCTTTTCTTTTCCTTTTCATTTTCCGATCCTGTCGATGATCCCGACAGCTTTCATCGCATTTATACTTGCACCTCTTTCGGTCCTGATTGGGCGACGCTGCCGGTCAATACATCAAACCTTGCCTTGCAGTCTAAAGCAGCCCCAGCCCCTGTAGATGGCACATATCAGATTGGATCCTGGCCTTCCAGGGAGGGCCTATCGGTTTCACCTTCGCTCGCCACCCTCGTCAAGCAGATCCGCCAATATCTGTCCAATGGATTCGGCGCCGTCAACCGTCCAACCATAATCTTTGCCAGCTACGGCTCAACCTCAGTGGGCCTCTACGTCGGTCAAGGGCTGCAGAGTCAGGGGGTTGGTGATGTCGCGCTGGCATACCTGGAAAGGTCCATTGCAGGATCCAACACTAGCCTTGGAGCGAGTGTGACCATGCAATTCTCCCAGCCTGGTCAGACGTCTCACCACGTTTTCGGTCTTATAGCCACCGGCAACGGAACTTTCGCTGCTGTACAAGACGCGCTTACATCGCGGTCCAAGGCAGAATGTTTGACATTTCCATTGGTCCAAAATGTCACAAGAAAGGTCCCCCTTGCGACGCCATTGTACTCTTTCCCCTCCCAACGCTAGCAATATCAGCGTCAACCTCAACGCCAACTCCACCGATGCTTCTCCCAACTCGATATCCTCTATTCGTCGGCGCAGGTCCCTCGCTCCTCGGGCCACCTGCTCCACCGCTCAGGTCGTCTCTGGTGATACTTTTACTACGTTGGCGGAGAAATGTGGTATTACCCCGGCTCAATTCACCAAGTATAATTCCGAGTCAAAGGAGTGCGCTTCTCTGGTTGCAGGTGAGCATGTCTGCTGTTCGGCCGGTAGGTTGCCCGACTTCGCCCCTAAACCGCAGTCCGATGGCACTTGTGCGACCTACACTGTTCAGCCGAATGACAGCTGTGCCACGATTGCCGCTGCGTACGGCCTCACGATCGATGACATCAACAACTTCAACACCGATACTTGGGTATGGAATACCTGCTCGCGCCCCCTCTACGCCCATGAAGTTATTTGTCTGAGTGAAGGCAACCCACCAATGCCCGCGTCTGTCTCTAATGCAATTTGTGGGCCACAGGTCCCTGGCACCCCGACTCCTCCCAGTGGAACGAATATCTCCCAGCTCAACGAGTGCCCTCTGAATGCGTGCTGTGTTGTATGGGGCCAAGTGAGTAGTTCCCTGTTCCTCACTCGAAACCTCAATCTGGGCCTGTTACTGACAATGATTTCAGTGTGGTGTGACAGCCGAGTTCTGCACCAACACTGGCACGGGTGCCCTTGGAACGGCGGCGAAGGGCACCGAAGGCTGTATCGCGAACTGTGGCACTGAGATGGTGCGGAGTAGCCCTCCTGCCACCTACCGGAGCATTGGTTACTGTGAGGGTTTCAACTTGCAGCGTCCCTGTCTGTACCAGGACGTGGCGCAGATTGACACTTCTATCTACACCCACATTTACTTATCCTTTGGCGTGTTATCCTCCTCCTATGTGGTCCAGATTCCCCACAAGACCACGCTGTTCGAGTTCACCCTTTAAACAGATCAGAGGCGCCAAACGCATTGTGTCAATCGGTGGGTGGGCATTTTCCACCGACCCGAGCACGTACATGATCTTCCGTGAGGGCGTTACGGCCGCCAATCGTCTGACCATGGCCACCAACATCGCCAACTTCATCAAAGAGCACGATCTCGATGGAGTCAATATTGACTGGGAGTACCCGGGGGTAAGAACATACACCGCCTTCACCATTCCCTGACCCAGTGTGTTCCAGTGGCTAATCATCAACCTTCCGCTCTTTGTCTATTTCAGGCACGGGATATTCCAGGCATTCCTGCTGCGAGTCCTGATGACGGTGACAACTATCTCGCTTTCCTTGCTATCTTACGGAATCTTCTTCACGACCGGGAAGTGACGATTGCGGCACCGTCATCCTATTGGTACCTGAGGGGCTTCCCCATCAAGAAGATGGCTCCGCTCCTGGACTACATCATCTATATGACCTACGATCTGCACGGACAGTGGGATTCTCACAGTCAATGGTCTCAGCTTGGCTGTCCGACGGGCAATTGCTTGCGCTCGGATGTGAACCTGACGGAAACCATCAGTGCTCTGGTTATGATCACCAAAGCCGGGGTCCCGTCCAACCAGGTGGTGGTCGGTGTGACCAGCTACGGACGCTCCTTCGCCATGGCCGAAGCCGGCTACTACGGGCCCGAGTGCAAGTTTTTAGGCTCAGCCGATGGCTCGGAAGCCAAGCCGGGGCCGTGTACGCAAAGTCCCAGGTACATCGCCAATGCCGAAATCGAGGCCATCCTCGCCGACCCGAGTCGGGTCACAGAGAGTTACCTCGACATTGCTAGTGACTCTAATATCCTGGTGTACGACAACACGCAATGGGTCGGCTGGATGAGTGACGGTGTCAAGGCGTCCCGACGATCACTCTACCAGGGTCTCGCCATGGGGGGAACCACCGATTGGGCAACCGACACCTGCAAAAGGACAATTGTCCCCGTTACCCGGCCAAGAGCTGGGCTGGGATAATCGACGACGTCGTCCTAGACAGAGACCCCTATGTTGAGGGGAACCGGATTGGCAACTGGACCTCCTTGACGTGCTCGGATCCGGCTATGCAAGACGGTCTGTACATGCCGTGCGCCCAGCGCTGGGCGGAGCTGGACGCCTCCGATGCGTGGTCCGATGCCATCAGCATCTGGGAGATTATCGATAAGCACAAGCTGACGGGTTCGAATGACGAGAAGAAATTCTCCTACTCCCTCATGAATACTTTCCATGTCGGCGAATCGACCAACTGTGGCCTGGTCGCGCCAGAAGGCTCGTGTTCCGACACCTACCCGTGTTCCGTTTTTCAAGGCTTCGGCAGCGGGGGTTCGGGTCCTGCGGCGATGGTGATCTATGAATCTCTCACAGTCATCAACTCGGTAAGCAAACAAATTCAATAAATAAATGAATGAATGTGGCTGCTGACGAATTTTCCCCGCAATCCAGATGTACTCCCAATTCTTCGATGCCATCAGCGTAGCTGCTGGAACATACATTGACAATCAGCTCCAGGACCTTGAAAGCACCTTCGCACCCGTGCCTCCGGCTCCCAGCGACGAGTGGCTGGTGATCTTGACCAACCTCCTAGGTCTCGGTCTCACGGCGGTGGCTGCACCGTATTTTGACGGAGGTAAATCACCTGGACAGACATTTCGAGTGTGCCCCCCCCCCCCAACTCAATTCTGACGATACCATAGTTTTTGAAAGTCTACCGGCGCTGAGCTCAGCTCCGGGCGAGGCTGGCGCCGACACTGCCAAAGACTTCAGCAATGCCGCGGTTGCCTTTGGGGCCGCAATTGCATCCGCCGCCATTCCGGAAGGTGAACCGTAAGTGACCTCAATCGAGCCGAGGAGAAGGGAAAGGGGAGAACTGTTTCTAATCAGGGCCCTATGTGAACACAGAGGCCATTGGACCGCACATTCGCAGGAGAGCTTCACCGCCACCCTGGGGTCGGTGGTTTCAGGGTGGGCGAACGTGACACAGAACCAACTCTGGAATCTGTTCAATGGATCCGAGACGTCGATCGCGCTGCTGACGCGACTGATCGCCAATAGAAATCTCATTGAGGGCAGCGGCGCTGCCCCCTCAGTCACGCCCAGCACGACTCCGAATACCACCACGCAGATCGAGAGCTCCATCAACAAGGCGTTCTTTGGCTTCGCGATCCCGTCGGTGTGGGCCGTCTCCGGCGCCGCCGCCTTCGTCGTGGACTCAGGCTATCCCTGCAGCGCGCAGAAGCCACTGTCCGACTACATGACGGCGGCCACCCAAGAGGCGACCTCCTCGTGCTACAACGACAGGCTCTACTACCTGGTACGTGCCGATGGGAAGTGGAGCGGCTGCCCCGCAGAGAAGAAGCTGGGCAAGCGGATGGATTGCCCGGACTGCGGCGTCTCCGAGTGCGGCGAGGACGCGACCTACTTCACGGCGCCCCCCGGCCTGAGCAGCCTCGGTGGGGGGGCCTGGGGTGGCATCACCCTGGACGACCTCATCCAAGGCTCCGTCCGCACCTACGCCGCCAACGGCAACGCCAACGGCGGGCCCGTCGCCAATCCGCTGGACCAGGACAAGCTGCAGGACCTCTCCAACCAGGACATCACCACCCCGGGCTACATCCGCCTCCCCGTGTGCAGCCCGCAGGTCGCCTGGGCTTCGTGGTCCAACCCGTCGCAGTCCAACGCCAGCGCCCTGAACTACCCCTGCAACCCGCTGCAGGGCGTGACCAAGTGCAGCGGCTACACCTACGTGGACCAGACCACCTCCGCTTCCCCGCTGGTGTCCGACTGCCAAGCCATCATTCATAACATCCAGGGCACCGGTGGCCACTGGACGACGGGGATCGACCGCCAACGCGCCATTGCCACGTACGGCTCGTGCAAGTTTGGTGTCCAGAATGTTGGGGTCACTGGCGACGTCACCTACTACACTGGAAGTCAGGATATCGTGACCATCAGCACCGAGGCCCTCGCCAAGTACGAGTGGGAGGGCCGTGTCGGGGCGAAAGGCTATATGGAGTGCGACGGTGACGCAGGCCACCAGAAGGTCCAGTGGGGCCTGTATTAGTAATCACATCAGGTATAGCCGGATATTAGCCCCCAGTGGGCTTTTGTCAACTGATTGTCCAACTACTGGCTGCTTACCCCCGTCAGGCAGACTAGGTCCTATCCAGGATATGCATGGGAATGAGTTTCAGTCCCCGGAGCCATATCGCCCGCCCACAGGCCCATAATTGATACCTCAAAGCGCTTCGCGCAGCCAAGGGCTTTCCTCAAAAATACAATCATTTTACAAAACACCCCCCTGCCCTCTTACCCCGAGTTGGGTATTGTATGATCGTGACAATGCGCCTAATAAGCATAGTCAAGATGCGCGACGCGCCCTCTTCCGCTTACGTCTCTTCGTCAAATCTCCTTGTAGCTTTGCTCCATAGCTGTGGTCAGTGAAGCTGCCGTGCAACAAGCGGATACCTTTTATTCGGGGACCGACCGAGCTGGGAAAGGGCCCTATCTACATTCGACAGGAGGGCTGTATAGAAATCCGGGCCGCTATCTCGACCCCACAGATATAAGGCATTGTGCCGCAGGATGTAGAAAAACTGGCCGAGAAATGGCGAAGCGGCCCGGGACGCGGCAATCCGGTCATAGCATCGATGCTACTTGGTTCCCTTGCATAGAGCGTACCCCCTGCCTTTGTTTCTGTTTCCTAATTGGGTGAAATCTTGTGATTGATCATCTTAAACTCTGCTATTGGACCTGGCATCTTCGGTGGTATCGACGGCCGCAGACTACTCTGCGGCACTCACAAACAACCCAGGCGGCGGGGTTTCCTTGGGACAGCCTCATTGCGTCAGTTGTCATGGTAAGGGCAGATACACTCTGTCATTTTCCCTGTAGAAACTTACGTGGCAGGAGATACAGCATTTGCTGATGAGAGCTCACAAACTGAAGGTGGTCGTCAAGCTCATCATGCAGCCGACAAGTTAGGGTTGCAGGGGAATATTGTAATATCTCATACAGATCCGTACCGTATCATCCTGCAGTGTATATTATAGTACTTGGTATATATTACAATACCAGCATACGCAGCGATCTGTTTGATACTTTACCAACCTTATCTTTCGATGACACCACCGGTCAAAATAATAAGCACTAGACCAGGTAACCACAATAGACCCCTTCCAATGCGGGGTCACTCATATAAATAAACATCCTGCATGCGAGAGCAGCTCCACCTCATCAATTTAACCTCTCCGTGAACAGGTGATGTACTGTACTCTCAACACACCAGCTTACAGTATCCGAAACTTACTCTGCCGCTCAGCAACTGCTATCTCGGGTGCATCTGCAGTTGCCGCCGCAGAAAGATGACCGAGTGCAACGTGCTAACCGCAACCGCGACGCAGCTGAGTCGTCTTCTGCAGCAGGGCCACACGACGAGTCACGACATCGTGCAAGCCTACCTAGCGCAGATCGACCAGCACAACCGCGCCGGCCTGCAGCTGCACGCGTTGATCTCCGTTGACCCCGCGAGTGCTCTCGCGCAGGCCGCCGACCGCGACCGCGAGCGGGCCCAGGGTCGGGTCCGCGGCCCCCTCCACGGAGTGCCAATTATCGTCAAGGACGCTATCATCACGTCGCGCGCGTTGGGACTGCCGACCACCGCGGGGGCTGTTGCCTTCCAAGATACCTACGGCCGCGCCAACGCATCGATCATCGATTCTCTGCTCGACCAGGGGATGATCATCCTGGGCAAGGCGAGCATGACGGAGTTCTGCGGCCTCAAGGCCACCTGTATCACCGCGGGCTGGTCGGCCGTAAACGGACAGACCCAGTCTCCCTACATCGCGGGGGGGTTCCGCCCAGACGATCTCTTCATCGGTCGCTCCGGGCCCGGGGGCTCCTCGTCGGGGTCGGCCGTGGGCGTCGCGGCTGGCTTTGCCCCGCTGGCCCTCGGCACCGAGACTTCGGGCTCCGTCTGCATGCCCGCCAATCGCGCGGGGCTGTACTCCATCACCGCCACGCAGGGATCGGTCTCTCTGGAGGGGGTATTTGCTTTGAGCAGGGACTTTGACAAGCTCGGTGCCATGGCGCGGTGTCCAGAGGACCTGGCTCTGATGACAACAGCCCTGACTGGAGTACACTATGAGCAGTCGGGCGGATGGGAGGATGTGTCGGTCGGGTTTGTCGACCCTCTCGTGTGGGATGCGTTCGCATTCCAGAAGACTCCAGACCCGGATGTAGAACAGCAGATTGTAGGTTCCATCCTGATTTGACCTCAAGTGCTGCCTGCTGAAGCTCTATAGCTGAGTAGCTATGAATGGGCGCGATCGCAGATCGCGCAGCGAGGAGGCCGCGTGGCCTACCCGGTCGAATTGCCGACCATGGAAAGCCTGCACTACGAGGGCCAGAGTGTGAACTACTCCGTTGCATGTGAGGGACCTCAAACCACTCATTCTTGAGCCTAACGCTAATGCGAGGCAGTCTACGAGTTCCCAGAGCTATTTGAGATATTCTGCTCCATGCTGGAAGCGCCAAAAGTGCATTCAGTTGCGGAGCTGATCGAATGGAACAAGGATCATGCCTCGGTTGCTTTGCCGCCACGTAGGACATCGTTGTTACTCCACCAGTTCTCTCACTAACTCCTCATAGCACACACGGATCAGAACGACTTGGTGGAGACACTGAAATCGACCATGAATGATGAGAAAGCGGCTGCAGCAAAGGCCTACGCTCAACGGCTGGCGGGGGCAGAGGGTATTGACGCAACGCTTGCAAAACACGGAATCGATATAATCATCGGACCGGGCGACTGTGCCATCTGTGCCGTTGCTGCGCTGGCGGGCTATCCCACCGGCATGGTTCCTCTCGGGCGCTTGGAAGGGCCCGGTGGGCTGGGCCAACCGCAAGGGTTGATGTTGGTCAGCCGTGCAGGGGGCGAACAGAAGCTTCTACGGTTCATGCATCTGTGGAAAGAGATCGTGGGAGATTGGGAGGTTCCAGCTTTACTCCGTTGAGACTTGGAATTCTTCGTGTGCTACCCGTCTCTCAAGGCGCTATTCACCATGTCCATGTCAAGTCTATTAGCTAGACTCTGGAAAGAAGCTTCTAAATCAGACTCTCACGCCTTATTACATGTTTTAGCTCGACGCCAAAGCAGCAATAACAGTCAAGCCGGGGTAAGAGAGGGGCTGTCACTTATCGTTCAGGAACCATGGGGTCCACCAAAGGCGGGTCAGTCGGTCGTGTCCGGTCCGTGATCATCGGCCCTACTCCATAAGTGTAGCAAAATTGCACTGAGGGGCACAATGCAAAGTTTGTATAAGAGCCATCACCAGCGATGTGCAGTGCGCTATATAGGAATTGGTATTCTTCCGGCGCAGAATAGGCAATCACCCTCAGGAGGCATTCGATATGGAAGATGAGCGTGAAGTCTTGCACATGCGCTTACGGAGACACATTGTGCTGTATATCAGTTCTGGCTAGAGAGGCTAACTTGGGACAGAGAGAAAGGGGAGATAGGTAGACAGACTGATGGCATGTTTTCTTCTCTTCATCTGGATGACCTTGATGGAATTCAGCGTTGTCCTAGAATATGTCGAACATAATCTCAGAAGTCCTACACAATTTGATATTGAACCTAACCGACACCAGCATCAAATGACACACCGCACGAGGAAGCCAACATCGCAACATCACCGATACGAGATCCAGCTTCAGAAAGGCAGGTTGGGAGGAGGTCAAAAATGGCTCGTACCCAGCGGGTGGTGCGTGCGAGAAGCTGAAAGTCCAGACCCTTTCCAACACGACATGGAAAGCCAAAGTCAGAACCGAGCAAAGGGCTCTAGAAAATCTAGATTGCTATCGTAGGGAGCCGCACCTGTTGGATGTGAGATAAAAGCTCCGCATGCGGAAATGAACAATATGGATATGGGGTGGCATTGACAACGGTCGGGAATTAGGTTTTATGGGATGTGATAAAGTTAGTGGATCGACGCATTACGAATACGGCCCGAACATTCGCTACAATTGGGTTTTAGGACGTACCAAGGACAGCATCCGTCACATAAGATATACAGATCGACTGGGTGTCATAAAAGGCTGTAAATGGAGAGGCGACAAAGACATCTTTGCTTCTGCGTCATTGATATACGAACCTGCTGTAGTGAAGGTTGCTTGGGAGATCTCAACACTCGAAGACCAGCCTCTTTCTTTGTTCACTATTTCCCTGGGACGATACAATAGTCAACTGATAACAATTTCGTATAGAAGGCGTGTATCGGCGGTGATAACAGAAACCCAGGAAATGGCGAATTAGGCTTGTCAGCGAACCTCCTGTGCATGACGATTCTAGGAGATATAAAAAGGCTGTCGAACTCTGGCCTGGAACCTTACCTTCGTCACGTTGCATGTTACTGACTCAAAAATCCCAATCTACTTTCATCTTCATACATCTTCGGTAAACACAATGCCGGTCAGGGATTACGGAGTTTGGAAAGCCCTTCCGATCCGTTATGAGTTTGAAGATCGCTACGAAGACCCCGAATCTCCCCATCTCTCGTTATACTACCATGACGATGAAGCAAACCCCCCACAGTTCGACCCTAACTATCGACACAACCACAGGGGTAGGCCCCCAAATCCGAACAGACCAGCGGAGATTCCTGGACTTTTTCGCGCAGCAATCAACATCAAATCCAGAGATGACGAGACCAGGCTGGCCTATTTTGTGAGGCACGATTTTGTCAACCACCCCATTGCCGAGAAGCTGGCCAACCTAGCTTTTGGGTTCCATCCGATAGCACAGGTAGACGAGTTGGACGGTAAAGGCCTGGATTACATTCGGGGGGCTCTTTTCACGTTGCAAAAAGGCCGTGTTCTTCTCCACGACATCCCCGGACCCAACAATGACCTCATCGACGTCCTGGAGCCGGAAGTCAAGAAGGCCATTGAGGCCAAAGCAACCATCTTTGTATTCGGCTCCAGGTTTAACACAAGGAACGGCATCCAGAATGTTCATATGAACCAGGGAAATATTGAGGACTTTGAGCAGGACGACGGGGTGTTTCAGGATGGGGGTCTTCTTATCAAGTACCACGATCACTGGACGGGCGTCTTCCTTGCGTTCGCCTCACAAGCCGTCCACACCGATGATACAGATGGCCACGCGCTCAGAAACCCTTTGGTAACATGGGCGGACGTGGTACCCCAAGAACTTGTGGAAAACTCGGTCAAAATCACGGAAGCACTCGTTAACCCACGCGGTGCCGACGATCGAGCTGCCCGAATCAAGGAATCGGTCACGCTAGCGAATCTCACCAACCACAGAGTATCTTTGGCATCATGGAGATTCCATAACTCGGTGGGTCAGACTCAAGACCTGCCGCGACACGCAGCCTTAGATTCTCAAGCTATCCAGAAGTTCGAGGTCCCCAACTGCCCTCTTTCTAACACCGGGGATACTATCACTCTTCTCAATGAGAAAGGACTGAGAGTGGATGGAGTGAGCTATGGGTGGAAGCAGGGCCAGCAAGAAGGCCGTCCTATAATCTTTGTTTAATATCTGAGGCACACTCTGCAAGCCTTACGTTTTGTGCTCCGCTGGATGTTGAAACAAGCTCAGACATACTAACCAGTGGAATGAGCAGTTTGAAAAATGGGCAGCTTTGATTCTACTTTGTTTCTCGGCATGCCATCGTGTCATCTCTCTGCACTTCGCTTGTGACTGAGTTATGGCAGTCAAGGGGGAAAAGTGATTGTTCCAGACTGTTGAAACTCGCCGTGCTATCTGAGTCCGAATGACTAGGTAAACCAAAGTTCTACTATATGCGCTTTGAGATAAATGTACTGAATGTTTATCATTGCCCTGTATTTTGTATCTCACGGTGAACATTCCATTCCCAAGATTCATCTTAGTCCTATAACTGCATAGCCCAAGTATACCGCTCCCCTGTTGTTGCGTGCTTAGAGCGACGGTAAGCAAAACAGCGGGCGTGGAAACAAAATCAAGTGTCTTCTCTGATACATTCATACAAAATACAACCTACAGAACGATTCGCTAGTGAGGAAACCCTGCTTATTTGCCGGGACTCACTCGCGCATCCAGGCCTCCGAATCACTATCCGCGAAGGCCTTATGGAGATTGTTCGCCTCCATCCATTCCACGGCTTGAGGGAAAGTTGCACATGACGTATAAAACTCGATCAGTACCTTTTTAAATTCTATCATGTATTTGTCATGTCGCAGCGTAGCAATTGAGAGAGAATAAACAGAGACATACTGTGAAGGGAGACCGGATTCAATGGCTGCAAAGAGAAACGCGCGTCTCGTTCTCGGAATAGGATTAGATTCGAAGGTACGGCAGTGCCTTCCTAAGTCAGCTAGAGCATGCATAAGAAACAACAACTACACACCCTTTGGAATACATATAACGTGTGGATCCGCGGGTGGAGCTCCGCTCTCGACACTCTTGCAGTATATATCATAATTGTTTCGAAGCAACTTCTGCATCGATACTGGGTTTGGCCTGAACACCGGGCCATTCGAGTCTGGAAAATGAAATCAGTTGCAGTCGACTAGAGAAGTAAAGAAATGGTTTACCGGGGATATATTCAGATATCCGGGTATACACTAGGCCATCCTTCGCTACATGAAGACGATCCTGTACGGACCCTTGGTTACTCGTTCTCTACTTGGAGAGAAACGACGATCGCTATGTTTGGAGCCGATACAATGTGGCTCGAAAGGTGGTATGGACAGGGATGGCAGAGAATTGCCGCTGATTCGAAGGCCTGATTAAAGTGCAAGTGACACACGAGAACAGGCGAGGAGTTTGAGGTACCCAGTGCATGATGGGTTGGACCGTACCCTTGTTCACATCGAAGACAATAAATGAGATATAAATATGCAAGTAGAGTTGGATACTAGTTTAGAGTGGTGTTCAAAGAAAGGGTTGTGAACTTGTGATGACTTTGCTAACGAATCTGGTAAGAAGACCGCAGCCAAAGTTGGTTCGTGCAAACAGCTGCACTGATCAGCTGGCAAAGAGACAAGCTTAAGCATAGCCAAGGTGGTTAGCATGGTGTTGCACTAAGTAGAATTCTATTGTGTTTCAAGGCTGCAAAACCACCATGAGTACCGTAGGCATAAGGTAGTCTAGCACATACGACCACAGGGTGTGGAAAACAGGGCTTCCCGTCCGCTCAGCCGTACTTAAGCCACACGCCGGGAGGTTAGTAGTTGGGTGGGTGACCACCAGCGAATCCCTTCTGTTGTATGTTTTTGCTCTACTTGCTACAAGTCCGGTAGACTCCAGGCACAGGGTATATGGTAGGTAAACATGGGGTAGGTAGGGCATGCCGAAACCAATTACGAGGCGAAGGCGAAAAGACAAGCGACAGATCGCCAAAACCGTCACAACTACGGAGCCCCCCTTACCATGAACTCTGTCTCCCGTCGAAGGCTTGCGGACTAAATAGAGCGTATTAAAAATCATTAGTGGGGACAGCATAAGGATGGGCTATCTTGGCTCCTCTTTGTTATTGGTCTGCATCATTGGAAATACGTACAGACGACTTGTCCCTGATGGGTGAAGAAGTATTCTCCAATACCATAGTCGATGCCGCAGCCCACAGTAGAGTTGTACCCATAAGTCCTGCTCCCTTCGGTCGGAAGCGCATATTCGGATTGCGACGACTGCTCGGCATATATCAATCCATTGTCACCATCATGACCTGTGGACCAAGCGCACCGTCCACAATGGGCGGGTCGTGAGTTGATGAACTCGCCAGCAAAGCCGGTGGTGATTGGTAATAATAGCCCCCCTCCCGATATTCCAGTCCATCAACGTGGTTACGATCGATCATTGTCTCAAAGTAAGGGACCACTTTCTCGCGCGGCGGGAAAGGGCAAGCTCGGAAAGCCAGGACATGCCGCGAACCGGGACCGCGACTGTCTAAGCACCCCGAAGTATTAGCATCGGTGAAAGCGACAGAAGGAGGCGACCACAGGGGGAGGATAACAAGGGTCTTCTTACTTTGGAAAGTGGCTTTGACGCCGTTTTTATAAATTTGCACGCGGGAGTCCAAGCCCGGGTCCTCTCTTCGCCCCCTGGGAGGTCGAATAAGCAATCTTGGCGGGCGAGTCTTCTGGCCCACGGCGACATCTCGCCACAGTGCGAATTCCTGGCGCGGCTGGCACTAACACAAGAAGTGCTTGATGTTCCAGCCGTCCGCATAGGCTACATGCTAGACCGCTGCGCGCCCAGTAAGAGATATCAAGACCATCCAGTTGGCCTTCTCATCAAAAGGAGTCTGAAACCCTCCAGATACATGTCTATCGCCGAAGGATCGTCATTGCACGGCTCCATCACTTTCGTCACATTAGGGTTTAGACCGCCCCATAGCCCAAGCCTCAACCAGTGCCCGCGCCAGCTCCAACGCCTACCACAACCTGAACCACAACTCCCACCACCTCCACAGGCAAAGACGCTATTAAAGCCGTCATCGTCCGCTGCCAAGGCGACACCTCCCCTGGTCAGCGACCACCATCTCGACCGACCACCAGATCTTCGACAACGCCGTCCCGCCCGTGCCGGCCCTGCTCGACTTCCCCGTTGTGGTGCACCGCGTGGGCACGCGCGACAACGGCGAGTTCGGGTGCCTGGACAACCAGGCCATCACCTACCTGCACATCGACCCTATCTCCGAGATGGCGCCGCCGGCGTGGCAGGCGGGGCGGATTGGCACCGTGATGGTGGCGCGCAAGGACCGCAAGGATCTGTCGCCGGAACACTACGAGGCCGTTTGGATGTACATCGACTACATGCTCGATTTCTTTGGGAATGGGGGCCCGCCGCCGGAGCACCTGTTCAAGAAGGGAAAAGTTTGAGCGGTGGTTCGTGGGGTACCAGAAGGAGTGTTTGGGGTACGGGCGCGAGGAGAGGAGGGATGTGGCGCCGTTGTATTAGGGATTTGCATCGAGTCGAACAAATAAGATGAAGATTGGGATCTTGAGGTACTACAAATGTGGAGAGTGGAATGTAGGAGATATTGTCTTGTTTCATTTGAAATGTTATATAATAAACAATATAATAGGTAGGGGCACCTTTCAGACCTCCTCGACGCCCACCAAGTCAGACCGACCGAAGTCAAGACGTCACAACAAGGTAAAGATCATCACCACTCCCTGGACCAAGAGCCCGTCCAAATGACGGGAATACGTCTGACGAACAGAATATTCCCAGCCACCGGCGCAGACACGGTCGAGTCGGAAGTAAAACGGCTTCACTTTAGGGCATCGAGGACATAGAAGTCATCAGCAAGGGTGAGGATTCTGTGGCTCTTTAGAAGAGCTCAGAGGTGGGACGTCTACTCTAAAGTGATTCTTTGAACTGTATGCGAGAAGATGGTTAGCGAGACTGCTCATCATGGTGTTGTCTGGCGGTTCTGGATGGAAGCCACCAAGGTAGGGGGAGGGATCACTCACGTAGAGTCGCTTGATTTTCAGAAGAGGATCGGGAGACGGGCGGCTTATATACCTGGCCGATTTTTTCGCGGCCGCGCTAGTGGTTAAGCGAGTGAAAATTCGTGGGTGGCTTATGATCATAGCATAATATGCTGACTCAGCAGCTTGGCTCACCTGTTGTGAGGGCTCTGACTGATTATTCACTCTGCCGTCCTGAGCCTAGCGCAGCGTGCTCTATACTACTACGCATACGCAACGTTTTTGTCCATGATGGAGTAGGGGAAAGACGAGTTCCTTTGAAATAACTTAGATAAAGACCCTCAACGTGCCTTTATCTTTAATTCCTAGCATCACTTGACAGCTGTAAGTTACATGAAAACATTGGTCAAGGGTGGCAGCTGACTGACATGGCATGGCGCAGCCTGGGTGCTTGCCAGATTGGGCTATCATGGATCCCGCCCGCCTTAATCTCCAATTTCCCCCGCCTGCTCTCCTCCAAGATCTTTCTCTCCCATCCCAGATTCTCACACTGCCTCGTTCTCTATCCTCCGTCAACTTATTATACTCGTCATGCTTGCGAGATATCAATCACAGACCTGTTCATGAACCCAAGTCCTCTCACTTCGAGTGAGACCAAACTCCCCGCCTGCCCCGCGCCTGTCTGTGCCGAACTCGACAAAGGCGGTGGAGTGCGCTTAGGCTCCCATACATTCGCCATTTACTCTTGCGCTGCGCTCCCACCCAGCTGGCCACAACTTCGAGACGATGTCACCACATACACCCAGTTGACAGCCTGCGCGGCACGGGTCTGCGAGACTTTGCCAGTATTGTTGAATTTAGATCCGTGTACCTTGGCTCAGCTGGCCTCGCTCCCCGCTTCTACCTCCCGGTCCATCGGCACGATTCCGACCGTCCCCTGGTTCTTACTCCATGCGTCGATGTTTGAGAGGCACTGTGTAATCGGACATGGATCGACCGTGGAGTCGCTGTTGGTCATTCTGCAGCGCCCCTGGTGTGTTCTCGAAGCCTGTTGCAGCAACACCGAAACAATCATAGCCTTGAGAGATTTCGCCCTGGTAGCGGCCCAAGTCGACCCAGACAGATACGATGCAGCTGTCCGACTGCTCTCCCATGAGTCAGGGGCCCGAGGTACACTGGGGAGGGATTTAATTTACCGCACCAAGCATGTCTGCGCGTCGCGTTCTTCTCTGGCTGCCGTCCGATCGATATATGTCGCCTCCACCCTAACCGCCGTTACATCGTACAATCGGTTCTGGCTGTCGCTCATCTGCACCTGCGCCGTCTATGTGGAAATTCCTTTCTCCGAGGTAGTCCGACAGATGCGCGACGATCTGTGCGATCGGCCTGCAGACAATGCCTTGACTCATTTGATATCCCTCTATAGCATGTTGCTCAGGCAGATTGGCAACCAGGTCATGTGATCTAGCACCACAGTCACTAGGTGGCTGGCTGGACATTTGTCGTATTTGTTTCACCAAGTTTTCTTCTCGTACCAATCATGGCTTTCTTCGCATCATGAGCAAGTAGTTTGTCCCAGCCGCGATCATACACATACAGAGGCGTGTTCAAATCAAGTTAGTGTGGGGTCGGTCTGGTATCACTCCGGCAGATTAATTACTAGCGCAGCTCCTGCTGCAGCAGAACAGCGAATGGAAAGTGAATTTGCAGCTGCAGGATGGAGGCTGACAACCTCAGGCCAATCACCTACCTCCATTCTTCGTGATCTCCCAATACACAGACGCATTCAGGCCGTGTTTTTAGGATGATCCATGACGGATCCCACCCAACAAAAGTCGGAACCAGCTGTCAGCGCACTGACCAGCTGGTCGGGCGAGGCTGCGGCGTTGCTTTCACTTAAGGGCACCACAGTCCCACTTCCACCCAACACTGCAACCCTCACACAGATATGCATATGCTACTACTTGCCCATAATGATTGACGATTGATGCTTCATTCTCTTGTTCTTCATGCCAACCTCTTCGGTGGAAACCTGGCTCCGGGGTCTGGCCTTCTCCTTGTGCGCGACCCTGGCGGAGGCCAAATACCCCTTCTCATCCTCCTCCCCCAAAGCAACCCTCACCAATGACACCTCGGTCTCGTTTGACCCTCTCGGCGTGGCCGCCGTGCTGGGGAACCCGCGAGCTGGCGCGAGCGCTGCCCGACTGTACGTGCAGTATGATCAAGCCGTGTTTCACTGGCCACACATGACGATGATCGGAGGGACGCTCCCGGCTATGCAGATGTTGGTCGAGCACCTCACCTCCGCGCTCCCCTCCGTCCATCCCGCCGTCAGATTGTGCGCCAACGAGACCACGATGATCCCGATTCGTTCCAACGTTTCGAATCAGGTCTTCCGCGAACTTCCGCTGACGCTCAGCAACCTTTGGCTCCATGACTACATCAACTTCAAGCCCAGCAACGAGAATCCAGGCAATGACTTCATGGTGATTCGTATCAATGCAATCGATGAAGACGCGAAAAAGCAAAAGGGCAGCACGGAAGAAGACCCGGGTTTGGGGTGGTGGATGGCCGGCCGGCTGACCCTGTATCTCTTGATCCTTATCAACGGAGCGATGATTCTAGCGGCCATGCTCATCGGCATCCTGGCTGCAGACATCTGGGCGTTCACCCTGTTTTTTCTCTACGGTAGTCACTGGATTGCGTCTGCAATCATCACCTTCGTGCCCATGGTCGAGTTCCACGTACCCCCGAATATCGACAAGAACATGAGCCCGCGATATGCAGCATACCAACGGCCAGAGGGTGGGACCGTCATTTTCAAGGGGCCCCAATACGCCCTAGAACGCTGGGCGCGGTCGACCTGGGAATACAAGTACAAGCCCTGGAAGGCGCCCCTGCATTGGGCGTGGATGATCACAGGCGCACTGGCCGCCTTCGCCTCGGTCGCGTGCATGGTCAACATGCACGGATACCTGCAGCTGGCCTTCCTGGCGGTGCTCGTCTACGCAACGCTCGCCGAGATCATCGCCACCAAGATCTCGCGCCGTCTTCAAATCAAGGCGAAGGGACCCGTGTCCTTTGAAGCCACGCTGAACAACGACACCCGATCAGAGGGCATCATTTCGGCTACAATCAAAATTCGCAAGGATTGTCGCCTGGAGGGCTTTGATTGGATCAAGATGGGCCTGCTCCCGGATATGCCTGTCTTCCGGCAAATGCAGGTCACGCTGGCGAGGATCAACAGGCGCCAGAACGAGGCAGAAGAAGAGCGGTCCACTCCGTACAGTCCTACGGAGATCACGGAACTCGAAGACGAGATGGAGCAGTATCGCAAGCAGTACGTGCAAGATGCGGTCAATGACGCCGAGGAGGACAAACGGCTGGCCCAGCGTCTGCGCGGGGAGATGAAAACGGCCATCGACGATTGGATTAAGACACTCCCCCAGGAGAAAGAGGCGGCGCCGGTATCTTCTTCCAGTGGCCTCAAAAGCATCAAATTTTGACCCTGTTCCTTGGGTCAGTCGGTGGAGCGAGTGGTCAGTCAAGCCTCACAAGCATCTGGTGGAGGCACCCTGCAACCGAGTGGGTGCTATCCTTTACCTCGATTAACGGCAGTGCAGAGGTAATATTGGCATCAGATGGATGTAATAATAGTGAACCCAACAAAGGTGTGAATCTGTCACTGGTATAGTGGTGGAGACAGGGGTGTGTGAATCAGTATCGGTGATCTAGTAATAGGAATAGCCGTGGCAGCTAGTAGCCAGGCATGATCTAGAGTATCTGTAAATAAGAACAGAGAGTGAATAGCCGCACTGCAAAGCTGGACTATTTCCTGGTTGGGTATGATGCATACGATGCCGTGCGTACAGTACGCGGCGCAGATATAGTCCCTGGAGATGATAAGAAAGATGTAACCAGGGAAGAAAGTAGTTGGGGAATCAGGGGTCGGGCCTTTATCACTTGTGGCAGCAGCTCCAAACGCCCATAGAAAGAAAGGAGGCAATAGAACCAAAATCACCGAGTCGTCAAGTGGGAAGAAGAATCCATCCTCGCTTCTGAATTGTCGGCGTTCCTGAGTAATCCATTCAGCCCGCGTGCTCCGAGGCGAATTCCGAGCGCGTTGCCCACCTTGAGAATTCAGATAGTTCAACAACCAAGAGACATATGAACCGCGTCAAGATCGCCCACCGCTGAGGCTTCAAGATCGCTTACAAGGATCTTGTCACGCTCATCCCCCACCCCATGGGCCCGGGCCGATCGGACCGTCTGGTCACGTGAAACTACAGAACCAGTACAGCACCACTCTACTGTACTTTGGCCTCGCCTACACCAACGAGTTGAAAACAAATGCCTCTCGTACTTTGTTGTTCGAGTTAGCGTTATCTTTGCACCGAGTAACCCGCGTTTTCCGAAACTCCTGCAGCGCGTTGTCGTTCCTCTGCGACATTCATCCCCAATCCCCTTCCGCTACCGCCTCACAAAATATACCCCTCAGTTCAGTTCAAGCCATGCAGAGACACAATCAATTCTCATTTCCACGTATCCAACAAAGTATGGCACATGCATCAAAACAATGAAAAACCTCGTACAACCGTATTTCCAAACCCATTTCGAGCATGAATTGAAATCGCGACCAATACACGAGACACCCGCTCCATCCCATCGAAGTGGAAAGCATCAAGGCTGCTTCACGATCTTCGGGGCCGTCCGGCCCTTGGGCTCCTTGTGGTCGCCGTAGGGGAACGGTAGAGCATCTTTATCCGCAGGCGCGCTCGAGTAGTACCGGTGCAGCATCAGGCCGCCAGCGAGGACGGCGCAGACGGTGTAGATGGTGCGGTTGTTGCGGCCGCCACTTTCGACTGTTCATCAGCGGGATAGGCAGTGCTTAGTGTGGGACGTACCGGAGAACCGGGGGGGTTCCGCCTGCTGCGAATGCGGCCATTTTCTCTGGTCACTTCTTGTTATTGAAATTGGATTGGGTCAGTGGGACGTTTGGTGTGAGGAGATGGGGACAGCTTCAGATGGTGTACTCGGTGTCGGGAGAGGGGAAGGGGGACGGGTGGAGCTGCGTATATATGTCTCGGGCGGGGATCACGCGGTTGACAGTTGCCACTCTCCACTACGTACCACTTACCAGGACACTCGAGGGGGTCTTTGTGTGGGGTACGAGTCTGACATCATTAGCTTCGAGGGATGGGTCTGGACCGGAGATCGGGTGGTGGTGTAGCCATGGGTTGGATCCGGGGCGGGCGTGGCATCTTTCCTTGTGTCACTGGGGCTCATCACAACATGCACAGCATTGCACAGAAGTACCTTGGTGAGCTAAGATGAAATAATGAGGAGGCTTTACGGCTTCATCTGACCCGCATAAGCGAGGTTGATAGATCTCATTCAAGCATGTGGATCACTTTGCCCGACGCGGTCAGATCGACGCCTCCCTTTGAAGCCACATTCCAGCCACACCTCGTACCTCTCGTGTCCCCTTTAAAACCCGCGTCAGCCTGCTTTTTTAATTCTGCATCCCTGACTTTTCCTACGACCACGAGTCAATCATGGGTCTCAGCGGTTGGACCGGTGCATGCGTGAGTTGCCCTCAATACTGTCGTGTCTCGTTGCTGACGGGATGAGGGCCAGTGCCTGGGTCTGCAACGACTCCTCGGCGCGAACCAGACATTCTCGGAAGGCACTGCAGCCTACAACGCCTCCCTTGCATCCTATTTCGCCCAGCAGGAATCGCAACTGTACCCCAGTTGTATCGTGGCCCCGACCACTGTCGACGGTGTCGCCACTGCGGTCCAATACCTGACCGCCAATGCCACCTGCGACTTTGCAATCCGATCCGGCGGCCACATCGTGGTCGAAGGGGCAGCCAACATTGCCGACGGCGTGACCATCGACCTGCGCGGCCTCGACTCCATTGGAGTCAGTGATGACCGGTCCACCGTGACCGTCGGCGTCGGCGCCACCTGGGGTGATGTCTACAAAGCCCTCGACCCGCTCAACCTCACCGTAGCCGGCGGTCGCGTCGGGCAAGTGGGCGTGGGCGGGTTGACCACCGGGGGCGGCATCTCCTACTTCTCGCCCCGCTACGGCTGGACCTGCGACACGGTCGTCGACTTTGAAGTCGTGCTGGCTAATGGATCCGTCGTTCATGCCAATGAACAGGAGAACCCCGAGCTTCGGGTTGCCCTGTGCGGAGGATCGAACAACTTCGGAGTTGTCACGCACATTCAGCTGACGGCCATCGAGCAGGGCCAGATATGGGCCGGGTTGGCTTACTACTCCTTCGACACGGTTGACGAGCAGCTGGAGGCGACGGCCGATTTCAGCAACGCTGACACCTACGACGACTTTGCGTCGTTGATTGTCAGCTTTGGCTTCTCCAGCACGCAAGGCGCCGCGCTTGTCAACAGTCTGGTGTACACGAAGCCGGAAGCGAATCCGCCCGCGTTTCAGCCGTTCACTGCCATACCTTCAGCGATTAACACGTTGCGCCTAACCAATATGTCCGATATCTCAACGGAACAGGGCTCTTTCCAGCCGAATGGCGAACGGTAGGTCCTCTTTGTCATTTCTTGGAGTCAGGACTAAGTGGATTGTGTTTTCAATAGTCAGTTGTGGCTGGTCACGACCTTCTGCACCAGCGTTCCCATGCTCAACGCGACGTACCGTCACTGGAACGAGAGCCTGGCCGCTGTTCAGGATGTGACCAATGTGACGTGGTCGTTATCGCTGGAGCCATTGCCGTCCGCCATCTATGCAAGAGGCAGCAACACCAATTCATTGGGGCTATCAGATGCAACCGGTTCACTGATGATCGTGCTGCTGAGCGCTAGCTGGGTTGACGAAGCGGATGATGCGCAAGTGGAGACAGCGGCTCGTGTCCTCTTCGAGGCCATCGAAGATGACGCCCACGAGCGGAAGGCCTACTATCCCTTTAAGTATCTTAATTATGCAGCCCAATGGCAGGATCCGATCGCCAGCTATGGCGATGACAGTGTGGAACAGCTGTGGCGAGTTTCCCGGGCAGTGGATCCCGAGGGTGTCTTCCAGCACCAGGTTCCGGGTGGGTTCAAGCTTCCTGTTTGAAGAGCCCTTCTGTGACAGGCCACCTAGACTTGATTGTTAAGATGTGGTATCGGGATGTTGCATAGTTACATAACAGGTTACTTGCCTAATTACACAAGAGCATAAAATGAGCATCGATATACTTCCGTTCGCCGCTTGTCGGCTTCGCAAACGCGAGCGAAATGCATATGCTGTAGAGTGTAGTTCGACAAAACAACCTTCAAGGCGTACGTCGTGACCACAATAGGAACCGAGTCAGGTTTCTGTGTACGACGGAGGCCAACGCCGAAAATGATGGTGTCAAGATTTTGTGGGGCCGGATCCGGTATTTGCCTTGAATTCCTTGGATATGGCAATTAACCTTTCGTGTAACCTTATTTGTTGGCATAACAAGTCATTGAACTGCAAGCGACAGGCATCATACGAAGGTAAGATTCATCAAGGTGATGGCAGCATGCCACTGAAACCAGTTTGGCTTGGGAAACAGTATATAATGACTGTCATCTAACGCGTAGGCCTTTGCCCTACAGTGAGTGGGCTTCCGCGTTTCATCGAATCGAACATAGTATAACCATGGACAATGCTCCGAACTTTCGCACACCACCACCCAAGTCATCCATTTTCCTTCTCAGCTTCCCCGCAGTCGGAATCTTGCTGGTCACCATCAATCGCGAGGAGCAAAGGAACTCCGTCCCCGTCGTAGGACACTCGGAGGGCTTGCAGATCTGGCACTGGTTCGATGACGAGCCGTCACTCCGGGTGGGGATAGTGACAGGAAAGGGCACCAAGGCATTTTGCGCGGGCGCTGATTTGCTGGAGCAACGAGACCCGCCCAGTCACTTCAACTTTGCAGCCCCAGTCCCCGAAGATGGGTTCATGGGACTCAGTTTGCGTCGCGGGAAGAAGCCGGTGATCGCGGCGGTGAACGGGATCGCGTTTGGCGGGGGGTTGGAGTCGTGTCTGAACTGGTACGTCGACGCGTCTCTCGATCCGAGTTGGAACAGCGGAAGTGCAATAGACACAGCTAATCCTTTTTCATTGTGCCTACCAGCGACCTCGTCGTCTCCTCCCCGGAGGCCGAATTCTCTCTACCAGAAGTGCACATCGGGGCGTTTGCGGCTGGCGGGGGGCTGGCGCATATCGTTCGGGCGTGCGGCCTGCAAGTCGGGAGTGAACTAGCATTAACAGGAAGAAGAGTCTCAGCTCAAGAGGCAAAGAGTCTGCGATTTGTTAATATCATCGCCAAGTCGCCAGAAACGGTGGTGGACGAAGCGATCAAGCTGGCGACGCAGATCGTCAGCGTCTCACCGGATTCAGTTATTGTATCGAGATATGGGTTGAACGAAGCATTGGAGATGGATACTATCGAACGACACACGCGCTGCACGACGAAGCAATATGGAAGAGCTCTCATGGAGGGCGAGAACTATCGGATTGGCGTAGAGGCGTTTGCGAACAAGAAGGAACCGAAATGGGTGGATTCTAAACTGTGATTGGCGCGGTCAAAGGGTTCTTGTTTGCTCGTTGCTTGTCATGAGCGGAAAGAGGACGAAGTTAAGAATAAACTTGGTGGAGTGAAGATCGGAGCGAGTCAATTTAGTAAATACCAGTAATCACCTGACCTAACAATATGGCTTGTTTGCAATGCACTGGACTGTGACTTCCTGGTTGCTCATTTTCTTCTACTGAGCTAATCATTTTGTAGTCCTTCCACACAACATCTCTGCTTCACACCTCTTTGTCCCCTGTCGCATGTGCTCTTGATTGGAATTGCAGCTCTGGAGCAGCAATATGAACAGCTAACAAGCGAACCCACCCTAAGGCCGACGACCCCCTCCTGAAAGCCAGTACGACACTCTTGTCGCAAGTCATCTCGTTGGCTGTCAGCACCAAGCTCATGAGTCTGTACTTGAAAGCAAGCGCTACGGTGGGTTAAGGGTGATTCGAGGGTCACTGAAAATTAGATAGCAGGTGGTGCCTGACAATCCGCTCACTTGGTTCCAAGATGGCTAATGTGTAACATACGTGGATTAGAGACGGCTCCAAGACCGATATGCTCCCTTCGAAGACTTCGGTGAGATAGATTCCGAACCCATATCGTGATGTCGATGGCCCAGAGCAAAGCGTCGCCACCGTCCCAATGAACCACGGGAGCCTCGAATTGTGCCCAGCGCCCGTGGTATCTGGCACTGGGCAGACCTTCAAGGTTCAGTGCTGGCTACAAAGATAGAAAGCACACCTCTTCAGCCCGGAGTGGTACACGAGACTGTCTCCTTTTGTGTCGTGGAACTCTTCTATCGACTAAGCAGAACATTCTGACGAGTGAGAACAAACCTCGGACAATCGAAGTCGAGAGCTGGATGTGGGGTGTTGCGAGTTTGCTGATAATGGCGTTCAAGGAAATGACAAGCAGGATCCGTGAGTGAAGAAGACCCACAAACCTATCTGTTGCGGAAATACCCAGCTTTATCAAGGATCGTAGAGACAACTTCTTGAGTCGTCAGCACTGTGTCATTTACCTAGAACCCAATGGTGCAACCACTCTCCGTAAGGATTCCCATCGGTCAGTTGGCTCTTTAACCAAGTGCCATTGATGTTCCAGGCTCGGTGGGCAAAGTGTAGGTACTTCTTGGATTGGGTCCTTCGTCGCTAGCCACGTTATTCAACAGTAAAGTCACTCTTGACTATCCTCCGCTTCACCTAGAGGTGCCAGTGGACCTATCTGAGTCAGGTATTCTCTTTGCGTTGCGATTAGTTCCGTATCTGTGAATTTGCAAGTCCTTCTATGCGAGCCTTGATCCACAGGGGTGAATCAGCTTCGCCGCATAAAAGCGACCGTATGCTATTGCCCTGTTGCGATGGGTTTCTCTGCTAGCTTCGCGAAATTCAACCCTAGATCCGACCATAGAATAAATGCCATTGCAATCGCAAGTTGACTAGTCTTCTGTTTTTATCATTGTCGCCATGCCGCCGCTCTTCCTGGTGGTGTCGTATCCACCTCCTTGTGTCGGAGCGCACAGCAGAGAACTCCTCGAAGCCTTGCTTCTGTTCATATAGCAAGAGACACTCTCCTGTTTGCTAACCGGTTTATCTGCCTAGACATATAGTATTCCAATCCCCACTTCCCAGGTCAAGAATTGTTGTACATTGGGATAGGCTAGAAAAGCTCTCCGGGGAGAAAGTAGTATGCTCTGTTGGCCACCAATCCAATATTGACGGGCAATTTGGTGTTAAATGATGATAAAAACACTCATTGATCGATTCCAACTCTAGTCATGACTTGTAAAATACGAAACCTTGAGAAATGCTTGTCAATTGATGCACTTCCCTGGCCATCCAGCATAGCTTGAACCATTCGAACCGGCCGGGGGCGTGGGAGCTTTCCCTTTTCCAGAGACCAAAGTACTCCACCGCATCGAAAAGCCCCACAACACGCCCCACATTGATCGGAATCAGCTCGGATCAAGATATATGAAATGATCGACGCTTTTTATGATGGAAACCCATGAAAAAAAGGTCAGAAACAAATGCGTGGAAGCCAGAAGAGGCATCCGAAGCGGCTGGTCTCGAAAACAACCAGAAAAAAAATAAGTCCCCGCAGCCGGGAGTCGAACCCGGCCCTGCGCTCACATGGAAGTGAGGCCCAAGCAGGTACGTGATCCTACTTGAGGGTTCTAAGCGTCTCGCCGTGCTACCGCAACACTACAACGGGGACTTATGGAAAGTACAGCAGCTACAGGGGGGCATAACCCAGCAGCCGTAACCGTTGCCTCGCTGTAGAGGGGCCCCGCGCCATGCGATTTGTCTCAGATGGGGATAGAACATGTAGAAAGGGGTGTTCCAGCGATAGGCTTTTTGAGAACAGAATTTTCCGATGAGTGGGGATGATTTGGCTCGTTTTATCGTGATGGATAGGCTGAACGAGCGCTGCGAGGGTGTACAGAACTGTCAGGGCGAGAAATGAGGGAAGTCACTACATCACTCGCTGTTTCGGCCGCTCTGGGCCTGTAGGACCCCTTGATGGCGGATGGGTGAGTTGTTTGGCTTGTCTGGGCGAAGACCGGGGTTCGAGCCCTCTGCAGAGCAGGAAATTACTCTTCTTCGGCAGCCCAGCGCAGCGGAAGGATGGATGGTCATGATGAGGAAAGAGCTGGAGTCACGGGGAGGGAGGGAGGGATTGCCTCATCTTTATATGCAGCAGCAGCAGCAGCAGCAGCAGCGGGTGGGTCCGGCCCGGGGTTGCCGTAGCCGAGGTGGAGGCCCGTCCCGCCCCTTAGCATTGCTTAGTTTATGTCCACAGTGGAAAGTGCATATGTCTTGAAGTGCGAGAGTCGATACATGTTAGACAAAAACAGCAATAGCAGATCCCAATGAGTACATTGTGCCTACTTGATCCGTTACAGTCCTTTCATTGGAATAGACCCAGTAGGGGTTCATTACGGCTTGGGTCCTCAGGTGATAAGATCACAAGTATCATTCTTGGGGCAATTTGGCCCGCACACAGAATTCCCTTGGAGCCCAATTTTTAGAGCAAGTTGCGAAAGGAGCAAGGCTCTCTATGTAATATGGGCTCAAATATTGTGACAGCCACGATTTACATCGACCTGCGGCGCTTGCTTCGTCTCCGCCATTTACTTATTACTCTGGGCCATCTTTCCGCTGACTCAGCGCTGAATGCAAATATCTCAATGTATTCCGGAAGTCATGTAGTACGGAACCTTGACACCCCTCAAGATGGGACAAAAGGTCACTACGTTGTCCACTTCCGAATGCAGGCAGATTCCCCGCTGCCAGTAAGAACCCACCGGTACATAATGCTGGTCCTACGCTGAGTACCCCACTCATTCTGCCTCATTGACTCGTCCCTCTTCGACCAGACTGGCCCCCGCAACCTCACGCTCCGCACGGGTCACCAGGTCTGTACAGAATTCGACCAGAACTGACAGATGCTCAACCTCGGCGCGCGTAAGATGGCGAGTATCGATCCGGCGGAGCGAAACCGGGGACGCTCGTAGGATTTGCAGGTGGGAGCGGCTCTCGCAATCTAAGGGGTTGGCGACGATTCGGCAAAATAAATTGAGGTGGGCCGAAAGAAGGTAGAAACACAGAAACCTAGCGCTGGTGTTAATGAACTTGCTTTTTTCTCCAAGATGTGGGTAACATTTCCCGTGACGCGATGGTATTGTCGTCAACCTTTTCAAACATACCAGAACATTTCCGGATTGAGAGCCAGCTTCGTTGCTCGCAAGAGTTCCAACGATGAAACACTTGCTTGAAGGGAGATGCTGAGGCTGGACTCCAGGGCGTCGCGGGAGCTGGCCGTCTCCCCCGCCCACGACTGACAGCGATGTACCACCTGGTGGATACATCCCAGAGTGTGGTGAAACTTCAGGTTCAGGAGCAAGAGGTCGATGTCGCAAAGTGAGTGGGTCGGCAGTTTGAATACGTGGATAGTTGGCCGGAAAGGCTTGGGGATACTCAGGCGCCATTCCTCTAGCTGGTTGTCTAGTGATATGATTGTCTGTAGAAGTTCAATGCTGGATTTCGCGAAGGCTTCTGGCGCGTATAGCGAGATATAGAGTCGAGAGACGTGTAGCGTGAGATCGGCCATGTAGATGTAGACGTCCGCGCGGGGGTCTGCGGTACGGGGAGGAAGAAAGCTCGCCAGAAATTGGGGGGAAGATTCATAGTCACAGGGCAGGATGGTAGCAGCCAACTTGGCTAGAATCAGCGGCGGCTGTCCCGTTCGCAGAAAGATTTCGTTATCGACCATCAGGCTGATCCAGAGTAGATCCCGTAGTACGAACCGGTGTTCATTCTCGGCATCTGGCTCCGGTGGCAGGCTTTCGGAAGATGACTCGAAGAAGTGGCATTTGATAGCCAGCTCGGTCAACTGAGAAGCTATGGTGCCAAACGTCTCCCAAGCTTCTAGAAGTTCTCCGAGCACACAGTGACATAGGGCCTGTTTAGCGTCTAGGTGTCAACTGTCCAAAGAACAACGAGACTGCGGATAGCTGACAGAAAGTGCGTAACTTACCAGTAGAAGCCACACTTGAAGCGATTTGGGAGACGACGGGCTGCGCCCAGCGATCGGTAATAGGCGTCTTGCCTCCAATGCCAATCCTTTGCCATCGACCGGGTAGTTCCTCTCCTGGCTATGGCCTGCTAGTGAACAGAACGCCACAAAGGCATACACTAATGCATGAGTCATATTGACCTCGTCTATAGACTGACTGGGGGAGTCGGAATAAGCCGTCTCTACAGCCGATATCACCATGTCCATACTAGATACTGCGCGCAACAGCCCCGTCCTATTTGTTGCATAGAATGCAATTGACGCTTCGGTGATGAAGCGGTCGGGTAACTTTGACGAGACTCTTGCTGGATGCAAGGACGTTGTTGGAGCACTGTATGAGGTCATTTGCTTGGCCCACGGGGCTCCGAATGGGACGACGGTGCTCAGGACTTGCGACACTCTTCTATTAGCGTCGAGCATTTTGGGGGCGGCAAATGACAGCAGCGGGATAGCATTGAAATTCTAGAAATATTTTTTTATATTAAATAGATCAAGAAAGCCTCTACAAATCATATAATAAATAACAATTATAATAAAATAAGTAAGATAACTGGGGGAATATTAAAGAAAATCTTAATTGTATTCTATATATAATATTTACTAATCTGTAATATTTTCCTGGTCTTAAAACTGCTTTATATAGTCAGATAGTGGCATTAATAACTGTAGTAAACTAACTCCCTAGTATAGAAAAATTATTAGTACTAAGGAGCAGTTCTTTTATATTAGAATCTTATCTAGTGGAATTAAAAAAAATACTAGGCTTTAAGTATTAAACAGAATAATCTTTTCATATAAAAAAACTTTTTGGCAAAAATTGAAAAGATTTGCCGTATTCTATAAACTAAACAGTATATTATTACAAAGTAGATAGATACCCTAATAAGAATTAAAGGGATTTGCCGCATTCTAAAAGCTGAATAGTAAATTATTGTTAAATATATAAATATTCTAATAAAAATTAAAAAAATTTACTGTATTCTAAAAGCTGAGCAGTAAATTATTATTAAGTAGATAAATATCCTAATAAAAATTAAAGGGGTTTACTATATTCTAAAAGATAAATAGTATATTTCTACTATATTAAAGATTGTTGCTAGAAGAATAAAAATATATAGAAATATAAAATATAAAAAAGTTGTTCTATATTTTGTAAGTATAATATTTTTTTATAGCTGTAATAGTTATATTTAAACCAAAGCTGTATTCTAAGTTTTAATAAGATATAGAGTAGTATTTCTACCCACACCCAGTAGTTTATTTAGTAGACTAAAAGTATTAGATTCCAGCAAAAGAAAATTTTAAATAATCTAGACTTTATTTTAGCATAAGACAGTTGCAGGTAGTAAAGTTTCTTATAGATTCTTTATTCTTACAGTTTTCTTTAGAGTGGCTAACAGCCAGGTCAGGTTAGATTAATTAGAATTTTTATATCTGACTACCAGATTATAGTTAGGTTAAAAAACTTTTTATACTTAACTGTAGTATAGCTAAAAACTAAATAGTTAATTATTTTAACTATTTTTAGTACTAAGTTTTATCTGCTATATTTTTTTTAGTTTTAGTATAGTTAAAATATATTTAGATTAAGCAGTGATTAATCTAGCTATTTAAACTATTACTAAAAAATATTTAAAAAAAAGTTTTTTTAAATAAAATAAAAGTAATTTAGAAAAAAAATAATATCTTTATTATTTATATTTTTATAAAATAATAAAAAAATTCTAGTAGTTTTAATAGAATTTAACTTTTTACAAATTAGTTACGATTATAGTATAAAATATAAAAAAATATATAATTACAGCTTTATTTAGACTATATATTTTAATTATAATATACTATACTACTAAAACTATATATTTACCCCTAGTTAGGCTATTAAAAATAATTATATAGTTTTTAATTTATTTTTTATTTTTTTAATTTTAGTTTAGATAATTTATTAATTGATTTTTTTATCTACAAAAGCTAAATTATATTTTATAAATTAAACTTTTAAATTAAATCTATATTATTTTATTTATTTAGTTTCTATTAGTAGCTGTACTTGCTAAAAATTATCTAATTAAAAATCAAATATTAAAATACTAAATTTTAGTAGATTTTTATAAAAGCCTTTTTTAAAGCTTTTTTATACTCTAATTTATTTTATTTAATTAAACTTTATTTAAAAAAAAGTATTTTTTATATTTTTAGACTTTAAATATAATTTTTTGTTTATAAAACAGCTAGATTTAAAAAGTACTAAAGATATTTTGTTATACAATATCTCCCACTACAGCAACCCATATTTACCACTATAGTAGTCCACTTTTAAATCTGTACTAATTTACTAAGCTTTTAATCTGGGTATTTATATTATTATATTATTTACCCCTTTCTTTATATATAGTATATTATCTTAAAATCCTTTAAAAAAAAGATTTTTTAAAAATTAGTTTTAAAATTAATAAAAAACTACTTTTAGACTATTTTATTTATTTTATTTAACTAGTATATCTACTGTATTAAATAGTTTTTAACAATTTCTAATTTTTTTACTTCTAGTTATTTAAAAAAAAGTAATATAGTATTTAATAAATTTTTATTAAAATTATTTTAAGGTAGTTTATCTGCCTTTAAATTAAATTATTTAACTTAGACAGATTTTTAAAAAGTATAAGCTACTATTTATTAGTTAAAACAGTTAAAATAATTAAAAAAACAGGTTTAAGTATTATAAACTAAATATAAAAATATTAAATTTCTAGTAAAATTAAAATAATACTATACTAGTTTAATCTTATTTTTTAAATATAAATAGAAAAAAATTAAATTTAAAAAAATTCTAATCTTTTTTCTCTGCTTTAGTTTATAATAAAAAATAAAATAGATTTATAAATTATAATATACTTTTAAAAAAATATTTTAAAAATATTATATTAAAAATTAAAAAATTTTAGCTGTAGTTAACTATCTAGACTTTATCTACCAGCAGAAATAGTATTAGTATATTAATAAAAAATTTTTAAAAGACTGCTAAAAAGCTAAAAAATTATAAAATTTTTTTATTTAATAAATTTTTTTTTATTTAAAATATTATTATTTTATAGTCTAATACTATAGAACAGCTTAAACAGGCCTATTAGTAAAATAATTAAAATTTAAAAAAGTTTTATTTTTATTTAAATATTCTAAAATATTACTTTAAGCCTAAATAAAATAATAAATATATATTAATTTTTTTTAAAGTAAATACTAGAATTTAGTTAATATATTTATAAATATATATTAAAACTACTGGACTTTTAAAAAAAATAGTATCTATTACTATCTATTACTAGAATATACTAAATTAAAAAAGAAAATAGAATCTAAATAGATAAGAAAATTATTTAAATAATGTTAGGAACTATTTGATGCAGTAGACACGCTGGTTAGGCAAGGCAAGCAAGATAGTCAGAAGCAGTCTTCTATTAATTCTAAAACTAATTTTTAAAAAATCTTCTCCTCTAAAGGATTCTAAAATAATATATTATATATAAAGAAAAGAGTAAGTAATATAGTAATATAAATATCTAAATTAAAAGCCCAGTAAATTAGTACAGATTTAAAAGTAGACTACTATAATAGTAGATATAAATTACTATAGTAAAAGATATTATATAATAATTATACTTTTCTACTAAGCTGGGCTATCTGGTACAGTAGTATAGTTATAAATAGCTTTATTACTTATTTTAAAAATAGTAGGATTTAATATTATAGCAGTAAAAAAGTTATATTATAATATTATATATTATATAAATAAAGGATTTAGTAGTAGTAAAAAAAATATATATTTTATTAATAATCTAATTAGGTTTTAATATAGAGTATATAAGTAAACAAAGAAGTTTAGTATATTAATATATTAATATTTTTATTTTTTTTATATCTTAATTTTCTACTAAATTTTTTTTTTATTTTTTTATTTTATATTGTTTTTGCAGTTGTTTTTATTACTTATTTTATATTTATTTTTTATTCATTAATATATTTTTTTTAATATTTTATTTTAGTTACTTTTTATTATAATACTAATTACTACTTATTACCGCCTGGCCAATACTTTTATTATACTAAAAATCTTTTTTTATATATATTATTTATATACTAGTATTAAAAAGTTTAATATTACTAATACTAAGAATTTTACTCTAGGCTGTATATTTAATACTATTATATCTATAGTATATAAACAGTATTCCAGTTGCAATCAGATCTATAATTAAATATATTTTAATAGCTTTTTAGTAGGCTTATTTAATCTAATAAAAACTAAATATCTGTAAAAATACTTAAAAATACTACTGAATTTTTATAAATTTTAAACTAGTATAAAAAGTTTTTTATTAATTATACTATTTCTAATAAAGTACTGGATTAGAATCTGGTACTTTATATTTAGATTAAATATTTAACTATAGCTTTAACTACTATATTTAAAACAGTTAAACTTATCTACTACTGTAAATATAGACTAACCAGTACTAGTAAAACTAAGATTATAGTATATTTTCCTATTAAGTTTTTATTAATTTATAAGTTAATTATTTTAACTAGTCTAATCTAGTTTTCTATTATTTTTTTATTACTGTTTATTATACTTTTACTAATAATCTAACTATAATTTATTTAATATCTAGAAATAATAGATTTATTTTATAGACTGGGGCTAAGCAGATATTTTTTAAAAGGGTTTACTATAAAGTATATACTATATACAGTAATAAAATCTCCCCCTAAAGTTTCTATATTTAAAAAATAAAAAAGTCCTGGTTCTCTGCTGCTTATTTTTTATAGAAAAAATATAATTTAGCTGGAGTCCAGTAGTTTTTTAATAGAAATTTAGCTTATTAGGGGGTTTATTTTAATTATATATTTAAATATTAAGATTTAACTATATATAATATAGTAATTTAATATAGATTTAGTTATTTTTTTTATATTTAAAAATAAGAATTTTTCTGCTGCCCTAATTTTTTTTTTTATTTTCTGTAGCTTTAAATCATCTGCTGGGTATTATTTATAGATTTTTTTAGAATTTATTTATTATATTTACTTAGCCAGCCTGTTTATTTAACTAAAAAATACTACTTATTTTTAAAAATTTGCTTATTTTTAATATTTTTAACTTTAAACTTTTTTTTTTTTTTAAATCTAGGGGGTGGAGTTAATTCTGTAATACAGTACTGTATTCCCACTATTCTAATAATAATATATAAAAAATATTATAGATTTAACTGTAGTATTTAAATAAAAAAATTTAATATATCTATTTTTTAATAGCTGCTAAAATCTTTAAAAATCTAATATATTATAGAGCTAGCTTCTAGAAAGAAGCCTTAATTTTTAAATTTTTAGTAGATAATTTTACTAGATCTTTCTTTTTAAAAGTTATTAACTTATACTTTTAATTATAGTGTTTT